GTACACCGAAGTTCCATTATTTGAAAATACTGCTCGTTGTTGAGGCTCCCAACTTGATGCGACTATGGCTATCACGGTAACGGCTTACAACACTGCGTGGGTTCAAAGATACAATCGTCCACGGCATATAGTAAATTCATCATTGCAAAAGTGCCCCATTCAGAAAGGTTTTATACCTCTATACAAATATTGGACACATACCCTTTCAAAAATGTCATGTAAATTGATCATTTTATTACTTATTAATTCATGTCATCGATAAGCTCAAAAAGCTGGTCGGTCACCTCTATTTGGCCTACAGCTTCCCTGTAACGCTGGCGGTGCTTCTCGTCAGCCGGATACCAATCTGTGGGGTCGACAGGTGCGTCTGAAGCGATCGCTAAAAAGAACCGCTGCTCTGGTAAAGGTAGTAAAATCCATAGCCAGGTATTGTCAGAGCGCATAACACCAAAAAGTATATCGTGAATCGTGTCGACCACTACATACATCGCCCAGCGACCTCCTGTTACATAGTTTAGTTCCATTACCTAGTACGGAAATTAAATTAGTAAAAAATCAAAGTTTAATCAAATTTTGGTAACAAACCAGACAACGCAGCAAAATAAACGGAGCTATGAAGCGGAGTGTGAAAACCTTCCAGGAGGGAAACGGCTGCCCCAGCATGAACTTAATATCCCGCTGGAAACCTTCTCGCCCGTAGATCCATAAAACCACAAAAATTAGGAGTAAGTGGAGCACACTGTGTGTCAAAACAATATTTTCCATAAAGCTCATGAACAAAATCATTCCATGCTGAAAATCAACAAGAATGGTTTATATCAAAGTTAATGTTGTGTTTTAGATGTTTGATAAAATACTTACATCTACGCTATGGGCACAGGAACAGACTGCCAGGCCTCCAATGAGGCCAAAGGTTACTTCCAATTTTCTTTTTCTAAGTGTTTCAAACTCGTCGAATAAGCTTTGCAGGATAGTAAAGATTTGTGTTGTCTCCAATTGAGAACAATCAAGTTAAGACGAGAAGCAATAAATATTTGAAGAGAAATGATTCTACTCAGAGAAATCCGGTCATTTGCTTAACAATTTCAAACTTACCAACACAATAAGACCAGCCATTAATAACATTGTATAAAAAAGAACAGTCCAAAGGTTGGGCCAACCCATAGAGGATAAAGCAGAAGCACAGCACAAATAGAACAACCAGTCGCTCATAACATTATGATCTTCAGAAAGTCCTATAATTGTAAAAGTAATTAGTCACATCTGAAACAAATTACATCTGTCCGATGGAGATTCTCATAATCGTACCTTCGTAGTAGTGATCGAGCATACAGTGAAGCATGTCATACAAGATGCAAATTAAGACCTGTCCGATGGAAATAATCCAACTGTACGACATTATGTTGTTCCTGAACCCATTGAAACTGGACAGAGCTATCACACTGCCCCAACCAGCCCCAAATACATGTACGACCATACAACATGTGGCGCCGATTTTGTTTTCCACATCACGGACTTTGGGAGTCATATATCTTTCCAGCCCTTTCATGGCTCCTGGGAGAAACGAAATACGCACAAAGCACACCAACAGAAGACACAGTGTTGCAACAACCATATATCGTATGAACTTTCCAAACTTTGCGGTCTCTGAAAACTTATAGAATATAACTGCAATCGTTGCCCAAATGGGAACGTAGAGGCCCACAAAATTCCAGTCAACCTGATAGTCCTCTGTTGGGTAATGAAAAGTGGAAAATTGGTAGCTGCCAAAATATAAAACACATTAGTAAAATATTAATTAACGATTATTGGTCCCTTTTAAATATAAGTATTTATGAAATAAATTAATTAGCCTTAGCATACAACGGAATCTTGATAGTTGATTCCAGGGCACTGGCTGCTCTCTGGCTGTAACTAATTTAGTCGTTGTTTGGCAAAATTGGTAGTTTCCCTTAAATTTGTCGAATAGTAAACTACTCAAAACTACTAGACTATAAGATACCTTTCTTATGTAACTTTAAAAAATTTATTTTGATAGAAGAGACATTGACCCAGAGAATTTTACATGCGCAATCTTTTGTCAGAAAATAGTAACTGACGGTGACGGTCATTTCGCTCCGTTTGAGCACGACTTTATTTTTTTCCTCGTACACCTTGTATAACACTTTCATACTTACTCCATGTAGAGAGAGGAAGGTACGTGGACACGTTTCGAATCATTGGTGTGTGAGGAAAAGTTTATATACGTGTAGCCCGATTCCATTGTTAAATGACATGTCTTTAAGCACCAAGAAAATTGTAATAATTTTCGATTGAAACTTGATAATGTTTCTTACAGTTAGTCCTTGAGACTCATTGAACCAAGACGATAACCCCTCGCAACTCCAAGGCAGAATGGGTTTAAAAGAGTGCCATATGTAGAAAATTGGAACAGAAGCGAACGTGCCGTAGTAAATAATAAAGAAGGTAGTCAGGAAGAGATTTACATATCCTATGCCTAAAAATCGTTATTGAAATAAAACAGAAAACTTATTTTCTGGTAAATATTAGTTACCTTTAAAGAAAGGAGCCAGACGAAAGGCGGAGATGAAGCCACTGCTCGAAAACTGGCCCATATAAGAGTGGATGACTAGCACCGGAACCACATAGATAACCATATACACAAGGTATGGCAGCATTCCAAGAACTAAAGTTAGCAAATTAAATAAGCATAAAATGTCTAAGATATACATGTTTTAACATGCAACAGTTGAACTTTTTGCAAAAAAGATAACATATTTAATGTATAAGAACTATTAGTCTTAAAAATGCATTATTCGAACAACGCCCCTAAATAGATAAGTTAAGCTCTAAAGCCTAACGCCCCATTACATATTTTGGTTTAAAAAGTTTCTAAGACTTACTGCCCATATCGCCATATATATTCATCTTCAGCATTAGTCCTAGGCAGGAAAATATAAAGTCCGTTGGATTTTCCCACTGTCCTCGTCCTAAATCGGGAGAAGCTGACTTAAGTCCCATCCCAACGATGTTCTATAAGCCAATAGACAGAGCTTTGAATAGTACAACCGATTAAGGAAAACTAAATTCTATTTCTCTAATAAGCCGCTGTTCAGCTCATCCCACTCAGCTCAGATAACCAAGATCTGGTCATAGTTACTGTTGCAAATTAGTGCAAAATGGATAAGTCACAATGATACACACATACTGTGAGAGCTAGGGATAGAGCCTAGTCGGAAAGAGAATATCTCTCTCTTGGTTCTTTCTCTCCATCTGTAACTGAGCTTTTGTTCCCCATTCATTCTTTGTTCACACTTCCACACTGGCTTCCAGACAACGAGAGCGTGTGCTTGTAAAAGTTATGAAGTGATTTTTTATTTGGCAAATCGGGCAGACATTAAAACAAAAGACTGCTGTCCGCTTATTCTTCAATCTTTACACAATAAACTAATAGCTAAAAATTCAAAAATATGTAGCAAGTTCCAGGTGAAGTTTTTCACCAGATATGAGCCCGAGTTCCACAAATGTCAAAGACCATCCGGAATTGTCTCAGCCCTCTGGATGCTGACATTCCAAGATAAGTAAGCCAGAAAACAATATCTACAAACTTACTCAAAAACAAATCAAACAAGAGGAAACGCTATAGTCGAGTGCCGCGACTATAAGATACCCGTTACTGTTTTACACAATTTTAAAATATTAATTTTGCTAGTGGAAATTCACAAGGCGCCACCTATTGTCAGAGGAAGTATGTTGAGTTTGCTTATAGTGACGTCACTGCCCATGTGGAGCCTTATAACCTTATTTCTTCATAAATAGCGAAATAATGTTCCGATTTGAAAAATCTTTTGTAAATCGATAGATATTAACAGAAATAAGTTATACAACGTCAAACGAAGGCATTCATAATAATATTATAGACTCCACAGTTTTCAGCGGTTTGTGGGCGTTAGAGTGGGCGTGGCCGGATGCAACTTCGTGGCAAGTTGCAGAGGCATTTCCTAAATACGTGTTCCTAAGCAAAATTGTGTAGCTTTTATAGTTTTTGAGATTTTTGCATTTTTGGTTTTTTGGGTTTTGTGGGCGTTAGAGTGGGCGTGGCGTGATCGGAAAAAAACAATTCGCATTGAAAGCATCATAGAAACATACATGCTTGATCCGAACTTTCTATCTCTTATAGTTACCGAGATATCAGCTTTTCTAGAAAATCCGAAAACAGTCTTTTGAGCCTTGTGGGCGTATGGGTGGGTGTGGCCGGATAGTAGTACCACTATAAGATGCGCTGTCATCTAAAGATTATACTTTCTGAATTTCAACTTTCTATCTGCAATAGTTCCTGAGATTTCAGCAATTTTAGTTTTTTGCGATTTGTGGGCGTTAGAGTGGGCGTGGCAGGATGCTGTAATAAACTTGCGCTGTCCCGGGACCTCAAGAATCTTCATGCTTAATCTCAGCTTTGTATCTGCTATAGTTCCTGAGATCTCAGCGTTCATACGGACGGACGGACGGACGGACGGACGGACGGACGGACGGACGGACGGACGGACGGACAGACGGACATGGCTCAATCGACTTCGCTATTGATCCTGATCAAGAATATATATACTTTATAGGGTCGCAAAAGCTTCCTTCTATCTGTTACATACTTTTCAACGAATCTAGTATACCCTTTTACTCTACGAGTAACGGGTATAAAAAGAAAATAATCCTTTAGCTACGATTTCTTGGCACACAGGGCCACAGGGACCATCCTTTCAAGACATTTATAGCAACCAGCTTTTGTCCAGTACACCGAAGTTCCATTATTTGAAAATACTGCTCGTTGTTGAGGCTCCCAACTTGATGCGACTATGGCTATCACGGTAACGGCTTACAACACTGCGTGGGTTCAAAGATACAATCGTCCACGGCATATAGTAAATTCATCATTGCAAAAGTGCCCCATTCAGAAAGGTTTTATACCTCTATACAAATATTGGACACATACCCTTTCAAAAATGTCATGTAAATTGATCATTTTATTACTTATTAATTCATGTCATCGATAAGCTCAAAAAGCTGGTCGGTCACCTCTATTTGGCCTACAGCTTCCCTGTAACGCTGGCGGTGCTTCTCGTCAGCCGGATACCAATCTGTGGGTCGACAGGTGCGTCTGAAGCGATCGCTAAAAGAACCGCTGCTCTGGTAAAGGTAGTAAAATCCATAGCCAGGTATTGTCAGAGCGCATAACACCAAAAGTATATCGTGAATCGTGTCGACCACTACATACATCGCCCAGCGACCTCCTGTTACATAGTTTAGTTCCATTACCTAGTACGGAAATTAAATTAGTAAAAAATCAAAGTTTAATCAAATTTTGGTAACAAACCAGACAACGCAGCAAAATAAACGGAGCTATGAAGCGGAGTGTGAAAACCTTCCAGGAGGGAAACGGCTGCCCCAGCATGAACTTAATATCCCGCTGGAAACCTTCTCGCCCGTAGATCCATAAAACCACAAAAATTAGGAGTAAGTGGAGCACACTGTGTGTCAAAACAATATTTTCCATAAAGCTCATAAACAAAATCATTCCATGCTGAATATCATACAAGAATGGTTTACATCATAGTTAATGTTGTGTTTTAGATGTTTGATCAATTGCTTACATCTACGCTATGGGCACAGGAACAGACTGCCAGGCCTCCAATGAGGCCAAAGGTTACTTCCATTTTTCTCTTCCTAAGTGTTTCAAACTCGTCGAATAAGCTTTGGAGGATAGTAAATATTTGTGTCGTCTGCAATTGAGGAAAAATATATACATGTATACTCAGCTAGTTAAGAGTAAAAACAAGAAATATTGGGAGAGGAGTGATACTACTCACGATTTCAAACTTACCAATACAATAAGTCCAGCCATTAATAACATGGCATAGAAAAGAAAAGTCCAAAGGTTCGGCCAACCCACGGAGGACAAAACAGAAGCACCGGAAAAATAGAATATCCAGTCGTTTATAACAATATGATCTTCAGAAAGTCCTGTAATTGAAAAAATAATTAGTATAATTCTGAATCAAATCAGGTTTTTGTCTGAATCAATTCTGTCTGGTGCTGCTTCTCATAATGTTTTATTGTAATTACCTTTGAAGTAGTGATCGAGCATAAAGTATACCATGTCATACATGATAAAAATTAACACCTGTCCGATGGAAATAATCCAACTGTACGACATTATGTTGGTCCTGAACCTATTGAAACTGGCCAGAGCTATCACACTGCCCCAACCAGCCCCAAATACTTGTATGACCATACGAAATGTGCGGTCCAATCGCTTTTCCACATCATGGATTTTGGGAGTCAAATATCTTTCCATCCCTTTCATGGCTCCTGGGAGAAACGAAATTCGCACAAAGCACACCAACAGAAGACACAGTGTTGCAATAACCATATATCGTATAAACTTTCCAAACTTTGGGGTCTCTGAAAACTTATAGAAAATAACTGCAATCGTTGCCCAAATGGGAACGTAGAGGCCCACAAAATTCCAGTCTAGCTGATAGCCTTCTGTTGGGTAACGATAAGTGGAAAAATGGTATCTGTCAAAATAAAAAACAAATTGGTAAAATATTAATTAACGAACTTAATTAATTAATTAGCCTTAGTTAATTGGAATCTGGCTGAAACTTATTTAGTCCTTATTTCGCCAAATTTGTACTTTCCCCTTAATTTGTCTAAGTACTAAGAATGAATAAATGATAATAATGAATGAAAAAGAGGTAAGAAAAAAAATTTTTATTTAGTCAATTTTAAAATAATTCTTTTGATAGCAGACATTGACTCTGATAATTTTACTCGCGCCACCTATTGTCAGAAAATAAAAACAAGAAGAAACAAGACACGAGGAATGAAGGAGAGTATTCGAGAAGATCTGACAAAGTGAAGTCATGCTCAAGCGGAGGAAAAACGACGGAACGGCAATCGGGTACAATCCAATTTTAATAAACATAAGCGTAATTAAAGAAACCCACATAAACCGATGAGTACGGACAAGAAAGTGTTATACAAGGTCCTACCAAAACATATTTTAATATATGTAAATATGCGTATAACGACATTTTGAATGAAAGATTGGGCGTGGCCGCCACCTTAAGACGCATCTCAAGAACACACGTGCTTAATCCCAACTTTTCATGTAGCCCTTATAGTAACTGAGATCTCAGGGTTCATACGGACAGACGGACATGGCTAAATCGAACTCATCTATTGATCCTTATTAAGAATTTATATATACTATATACTTATATACATACTTATATACTTATTCTTACATAAATTAGTTTCATACTTACTTCATGTATAGATAGGACGGTACGTGAACATATTTCGAATCATTGATGTCTGTGGAGTAGTTTATATACGTGTAACCCGATTCCATTGTTAAATGACAAGTCTTTAAGCACCAAGAAAATTGTATTAATTTTTGAATCAAACTTCCTTAATAACGTTTCCTACAGTTAGTCCTTGAGACTCATTGAACCAAGACGATAAACCCTCGCAACTCCAGGGTAAAATGGGGTAAAAGGAGTACCATATGTAGAAAGTGGGAACAGCAGCCTTCGTGCCGTAGTATATGAGAAAGAAGGTGTTCAGGAAGAGGCTCACATATCCTATGCCTTAAAATCAAATTTAAATATAACAGGACACATATTTTGTGGTCAAAAATACTTACCTTTAAAGAAAGGAGCCAGACGAAAGGCGGAGATGAAGCCACTGCTCGAAAACTGGCCCATAAAGGAATGGATGACCAAGACCGGAACCACAAGGATTACCATATACAAGAAGTATGGCAGCATTCCAAGAACTAAAATTAGCGAATAAAACTTATTTTAACCATAAAATGTCTAAGATATACTACTTAAAAATTATTATTTGACGTGCAACAGAAGAAAATCTTTTTCATTGAAGATAATATAATATATTTTATCTATAAGAAGTATTAGTTTTAAATATGCTTTATTGGAACAACGCCCCTGAAGAGATAAGGTTAGCTCTTAAACTAAACTGCCTATTAAATATTTTGGTTTAAAAAGTTCCTATAACTTACTGCCTACACTGGAACCAAATAGATGCATCTGCAAAATTAGTCCTAGGCTGGCAACTATATAATCCGTTGGTTTTTCCCACTGCCCTCGTCCTAAATCGGGGGAAGCTGCCTTAAGCCCCATCCTATACGATGTTTTATTAACCTTGTTGCAACCACGATATTAAGAAATATAAGATGAATTGGGTCACTGTATCACTGAGGTATGAATAGTACAACCGATGCCGGAAAACTAAATTCTATTCCGCTAATAAACCTCTGTTCAGCTCATCCTAGTCATCTCACATAACCAAGACCTGGTCATAGTTAAAAAATGCATAGTTGCAATATTGTGTTGGGTGTGTGAGATGGGGATAGCGGCGAGCAGATCTTTGAAAGAGAAAAGACTCTCTCTTGGTTCTCCCTCTTTTTCTGCCACCGAGCTTTTGTTCTCCAATTATACTTTAAGCTCACTTTACTTGATCGCAGGCGACGGCAGCGTGCGATTGTAAAATATTTTTCATTTTTAATTTCCACTAGCAAAATGAATATTTTAAAATTGTGTAAAACAGTAAAGATTTCTTATAGTCGCGGCACTGGACTATAATATTATTTTATTCAATGCGAATTCATTTGCAAATTAAAGAACCTTCTATACTTAATACACAAAACGTATCTTCGTATGTTAAAGCAGAAGATTACACTCCACTCCAAAACTAAAAATGCAAAAACATTATATAAGTTCCAGGTTAAGTTATTCATCAGAAATAAGGGTAAGACGGAATTTCATAAACGTCCAGAGTCATCCGGAAAATCTACAAAATTACTCAAAAACAAAAAATTTATATTCTTGTTGAGGAAACTGCAATAATTAAAACATACATTCACCACCCATATTCTAGAGATGCTTCTTCAAAAGAGTATATTTCAGGGTTTATAAATACTTGCCGATTAACCAAAAATAATTTATAATAAATGTAACCTGAACGGCCGCACATGGGTAGTGTAAAATTCTTCCAGGCAGTATTTGTTATTATAACAAATAATTACATTCTTCAAAAGTACTTTGAAAAACCTACTAGTTTCAAGCCAGAAAAGCAAATTATACTAAACCGGAAAGATTTTACCAAAACTGAATGTATGAAATCAAACTTAATTGGTCTCCATTCAAATTTGAAAGAGTTCATTTGATATATATGTATAGACAAATATTGGGCACAGATCCGTTTTAAAATGTCATGTATTTTGATAATCTTATCACTTATTCATTCACATCATCGATAAGCTCAAAAAGTTGGTCGGTCACCTCCGTTTGGCCTACAGCTTCCCCGTAACGCTGGCGGTGCTCCTCCTCAACAGGATACCAATCGGTGGGTCGACAGATGCGTCTGAAGCGCTCGCCAAAGGATCCGCTGCTCTGGTAAACATAGTAAAATCCATAGCCAGGTATTGCCAGAGCGCATATCCCCAACAGTATATAGTGAATCGTGTGGACCACTACAAACCTCAGATAGTGTTCTTGTCTTAATAAGATTATTCCCAATACCTGACATGGAAATTAAATTAGCAAAGTAACAAAGCTTAATCCAATGTTCGTAACAAACCAGACAACGCAGCAAAATAAACGGAGCTATGAAGCGGAGTATGAAAACCTTCCAGGAGGCAAACGGCAGTCCCAGCATGAACTCAATATCCCGCTGGAAACGTTCACGCCCGTAGATCCACAAAACAACCAAAAGGAGGAGTAAGTGGAGAGCACTATGTGTCAAATAAATATTGTGAATGAAGGCGATAAAAAAAATTATTCCATCCTGAAAATCATAGAAGTCAAAATGGTTTATATCATAGTTAATGTCGTATTTTAGATTATTTATCTATTTATCTAACAATTTGTTACAACTTAGAGCTAAAACTGGACTAGGAAGCTTAGTCCTTTTCCTATGTTTACAAGGGCTACTACTCATTTTATTTACATAATATGATCTAATACTTACCTCCACGCTATGGACACAGGAACAGACTGCCAGGCCTCCAATAAGGCCAAAGGTTACTTCCATTTTTATCTTTCTAAGTGTTTCAAACTCGTCGAATAAGCTTTGGAGAATAGTGAAGATTTGTGTCGTCTGCAATTGAGAACAATCAATTTAAGACGAAAAAACAAGAGATATTGGAAAGAATCATTCCGATTGAACTATATGAAATCCGGTCATATGCTTAACAATTTCAAACTTACCAAAACAATTAGACCAGTCAGTAATAACATGGTATAGAAAAGAAAAGTCCAAAGGTTCGCCCAACCCACGGAGGATAAAGCAGAAGCACCGCACAGATAGAACATCCACACGCTCATAACATTATGATCTTCAGAAAGTCCTATAATTGTAAAAGTAATTAGTCACATCTGAAACAAATTGCATCTGTCCGATGGTAATTCTCATAATCGTACCTTTGTAGTAGTGATCGAGCATACAGTAAAGCATGTCATACATGATGATTATTAAGACCTGTCCGATGGAAATAATCCAACTGTACGACATTATGTTGGTCCTGAACCCATTGAAACTGGACAGAGCTATCACACTGCCCCAACCAGCCCCAAACCCAAATACGACCATACAAAATGTTCTGACCATTTTGTTTTCCACATCACGGACTTTGGGAGTCATATATCTTGCCAGCCCTTTCATGGCTCCTGGGAGAAACGAAATGCGCACAAAGCACACCAACAGAAGACACAGTGTTGCAATAACCATATATCGTATGAACTTTCCAAACTTTGGGGTCTCTGAAAACTTATAGAATATAACTGCAATCGTTGCCCAAATGGGAACGTAGAGGCCCACAAAATTCCAGTCAACCTGCTAGTCCTCTGTTGGGTAATGAAAAGTGGAAAATTGGTAGCTGTCAAAATAAGAAACACATTAGTAAAATATTAATTAACGATTATTGGTCCATTTTAAATATAAGTATTTATGAAATAAATTAATTAACCTTATCATACAACGGAAAACTTGATAGTTGATTCCAGAGCACTGGCTGCTCTCTGGCTGTAACTAATTTAGTCATTGTTTGGCAAAATTGGTAGTTCCCCTTCAATTTGTCGAATGGAAAATATATATAAAACAAAAGTAAGAAATAAAATAATTCAAACGTACTAGACTGTTAATGTCTTATCCAATTTTAAAATAATTATATTGCTAACAGAAATTAACGGAGACATTTTTTGCTGTCGCCACCTATTGTCGAAAAATAATAACTGACGGTTACGGTAGTTTCTCTCCGCTTGAGCACGACTTTACTTCTCTCTCGCACACCTCGTATAACACATTCATACTTACTCCATGTAGAGATAGGAAGGTACGTGAACATCTTTCGAATCATTGGTGTGTGAGGAAAAGTTTATATACGTGTAGCCCGATTCCATTGTTAAATGACATGTCTTTAAGCACCAATAAAATTGTAATAATTTTCGATTGAAACTCTCTTAATAACGTTTCTTACAGTTAGTCCTTGAGACTCATTGAACCAAGACGATAACCCCTCGCAACTCCAAGGCAGAATGGGTTTAAAAGAGTGCCATATGTAGAAAATTGGAACAGAAGCGAACGTGCCGTAGTAAATAATAAAGAAGGTAGTCAGGAAGAGATTTACATATCCTATGCCTAAAAATCGTTATTGAAATAAAACAGAAAACTTATTTTCTGGTAAATATTAGTTACCTTTAAAGAAAGGAGCCAGACGAAAGGCGGAGATGAAGCCACTGCTCGAAAACTGGCCCATAAAAGAGTGGATGACCAGCCCCGGAACCAAAAAGATTACCATATACAAGAAGTATGGCAGCATTCCAAGAACTAAAGTAAGCAAATAAAACTTAATTCAAGCATAAAATGTTTCAGATGTACCACTTAAAATTTTGATTTAACGTGCAACAGAAGTACAACTTTTTCAGCAAAGATAATATATTTTATGTATAAGAAGCATTAGTCTTAAATATGCATTATTGTAACAACGCCCCTAGATAGATAAGGTTAGCTCTGAAGCTTAAGCCTTTTTATGAATATAATTTGGTTACAAAATTCAAATAACTTACTACCCATATCGGTATATATATTCATATTCAGCATTAGTCCTAGACAGGCAAATATATAGTCCGTTGGATTTTCCCATTGTCCTCGTCCTAAATTGGGGGAAGCTGACTTAGGCCCCATCCCAACGATGTTTTATAAGCCTTGTTGAAACCACAATGATTATAAATAGAAGATGGATTAGGTCACTGTAATCCTGCTTTGCAAGCCAATAGACAGAGGTTTGAATAGTACAACCGATGAAGGAAAACTAAATTCAATTCCCACTCAGCTCAGATAACCAAGATCTGGTCATAGTTACTGTTGCAAATTAGTGCAAAATGGAAAAGTCACAATGATACACACATACTGTGAGAGCTAGGGATAGAGCCTAGTAGATCTCGGAAAGAGAGAAAATCTCTCTCTTGGTTCTTTCTCTCCATCTGCAACTGAGCTTTTGTTCTCCATTCATTCTTTATGCACACTTTCACACTGGCTTCCAGACAACGAGAGCGTGCGGTATTCTAAACTATAATTGAAGTAAAGCATCTAACAGACTCCGCTCTCGACTACAGCATGTTCGTTTCTAAATAATGTTAAGTCCATCATTTATACTTTTGCTCAAATATATATTTCAGTTACTACCACAGTTCTAGTATCGTACATAGGTAATTTTCTGGGCCATTAGTTGACCTCTTCAGTAACCTCGAAAAGCTGGTGGGTCATCTCGGTGTTTCCTACAGCTTCCTCGTACAGCTGGCGGTGCTCCTTTTCAACCGGATACCAATCGGTGGGTCGACAGGTCCGCCTGAAGCGTTCGCCAAATGTGCCGCTGCTCTGGTAAAGGTAGTAAAATCCGTAGCCAGGTATGAATAGAATGGGTAACGCCACCATTATAATAGATATAATGGCGACCGCAACTGCGGACCAAGTGTGCTCCATCGTGCACACAAGCAATCCAATCATCTAAGAAGGAAAAACAATATGATGTTTTTACTCTATATAGAAATTAAGGTTTGTTACAAACCAGACAAATCACTAAAATAATCGGAGCTATGAAGCGGAGTATGAAAACCTTCCAGGAGGCAAACGGCAGCCCCAGCATGAACTCAATATCCCGCTGGAAACGTTCCCGCCCGTATATCCACAAAACCACCAATAGGAGAAGTAAATGGAGCACACTGTGTGTGAAGATAACATCGAGACTCAAGGCGGAAAAGAAGATAATACCATGCTGGGAAATGAATAAAGATTTTATGAGACTTAATGATTTAAAAAGTATAAATTAAGTACTTACATTTGTGCAAAAGAAAAAGGAACAGACAGCCAGGCCACCAATTAGGCCAAATGTTACTTCCATTTTTCTTTCTCTAAGTCTATCAAACTCGTCAAATAAACTTTGTAAGACAGTAAAGATTTGAGTGGTCTGCAATATTCTATATGTAAGTATGTATCCAGAAAATGTGTATATCAAAATGTACTTACCATCACAATAAGAGCTGCCATTAGTAGCATTGTATAGTAAATAAAAGTCCACAGGTTCGGCCAACCCATGGTGGCCAAAGCAGAGGCACTGGACAAATACAACATCCAATGAGTCACAACATGTTTTTCATAGGGAGTTTCAATAGATTCTGGAAACAAATGTGTAATCTTTTAATACAGTTCAATGTGTATATAACATTTTTTGGCATTTCTTATTACAAGAAAAATACCTAACTCATTATTATTAGATTCAAACTTTAAGGCTACTACATTTTCTAGCCAGGCGAGTTGTAAAAGGTGCTGTTTATTGAACAGATTCAAACGTCAGCGAAACCAGAATAAAGTCAAATAATGATAAGTCATAATCAATAGCAGGGTTGAACTAGCCATGTTTGTCCTCATGTCCGTCTGTCCGTATGAACACTTAGATCTCGGGTACCATCAGTTAATAAGCATGCCTTATATAGTGTCAGAAACAGATGGCGCTAGTCAAAAAGTCAACTTCTGCTAGCATTATTGTTTTGAAGTGAGAAAGGAGTAACGAATAGATACAATTATACTATTTTTCACATACTTTGTTCTAAGATGTTTCATTTCGATTTGATTTTTTTTCAGTTCTCAGTAAAAAGTTTTTTTAAATAATTGCAAAAATGAATATATTATAGTTTCTTACCATCGTAGTAGTGATCGAGCATGAAGGTAACCAGGCCAAACATGATGTAAATAAAGATCTGTCCGAAGGATATAATCCAACTGTACGACATTATGTTGGTCTTGAACCCATTGAAACTGGACAGAGTTATCACAGTACCCCAGCCAGCCCCAAATGCATGTAGAACCATGATAAATGTAGAGGCTGCTCCCATAGCCAAATCCTGTACGCCCGGAGTCACATAACTCTTTAGCCCTAGATGGGATCCTGGAAGAAAGAGAATACGCACGAAGCACACCAAGAGAAGAACAACTGTTCCAATAACCATATATCGTAAAAATTTTCCAAACTTTGCAGTCTCCGTGAAATAATAAAAAATGAATGCAATCATTGCCCAAACTAGAACAAAGAGGCCCACAAAATGCCAGGATAACTCATAGTCGGCTTCTAAGTCCGGAAATCGATCCTCCTGAAGAGTTTCAAAGTGATTTCTGTGAAAATAATATACAAATAAATATATAAAATATATAAGTTTTATATTATATTACTTAAATAAAATATAATTTTTTTGACTTACTGAAAGAAAAGAACGGAAGGTACATGAAGTATTGTTATGTAAGCATGTGTATCGTTTTCGCCATCCTTTGGTTCATCAACAGTTATATTATGCGCTGATGCGTTGCATGTCTTAAAATAATAACACATTATAATAACTAACTATTTCACGTTTCCACAATTTCCCACAGTTAATTGCGCTGAAGAAGCATTGTACCAGGACTCTATTCCTTCACAACTCCAAGGCAATGTGGGTCGTAAAGAGTTCACCATGAAGAGAAGCGGAACAGCAGCAAAAATGCTGTAGTAAATAAGCATGGAGATGGTAAGAAAGACGCTCACATATCCCATTCCTAAAATTTAAATTGCCATATAAGAGAACAAAACTCTCTTGGTTAAAATGACTTACCTTTAAAGAACGGAGCTAGACGAAAAGCGGAGATGAAGCCACTGCTGGAAAACTGCCCCATGAAGGAGTGAATGACCATGATTGGCACTAAATAGATCACCATGTACACAAAGTAAGGCAGCATAGCAAAAACTAAAGTTAGCAAAGACAAAAGAGTAAGTATGTGTAAAGCCTTACTGATTCAAAGGAAGACTTTTAATTCCCTTTACTCTGCTGTTCAAATTTAAAATAAACATCTACCGTGAGTAGCGCCCTGTAACATTCAAATGGCGCCATCTATGGCTATGTAGCTAATCATGTATGGCTTTTAATAAATATACCAAGATATGTATGTGAAATTTGATCAAATATCGATGGCGTGGACCTACGGTAAGTGATAGTATCGCTTCAAGAAATGTGTTTTTACAGAGTTTGTGTTTCATTATTTTGTAATAACCAAATATAATTGTATTAACTTTATCAGCGACTTAACCATAGATGGCGCCATTATAATGTTAAAGGACTTACAGCAGCGTAAAGCTATCTACTGTTTTCCCAACCCATCTTTTGATTTGAAGTTTTCGGTCATGGTGAAAGCCAAGATTTTATTTACTAATTTTCGACCCAATTAAGACAAAATCAATCTTAAATCAATAATAACGTGCCATAGTTTATATCGTCTTTTTTCTTCTAAACTGGCTAAATAAACTGTATAGGGTGGAATCACTAACATAATAGCAAACCAATGAAGTAGATTATGCCATATGTTAGATCGGTAGGTACGAAACTGCAACGCCCCTAAAAAGATTAGGTTGACCTTGTGCAGCTCATCAGCCCTCTAATATATATAATAAGTTGATATATATATAAGTTGAAATATTTTCAATAACTTACTGCCCATATCAAAGAAAAACCAATACGAGGCCACGAATATATCCAGCTTCATGGCTAATCCAAAACAGGCAAATAAAAAATCCGTTGGGTTTTCCCAATTTCCTCGATTTAGATCTGGAGAGAAGGGCTTTAGCCCAGTATCATACGATGTTTCATAAACCATTATGTGCGAAAATGGATTGTAAAAACGTTTATTATAAACCCGATCCGATTGCACACCCCGTTTCCTTTCTGTCCGGGGAATGATCTGCGAGCGTTTTAATTTAAATTGACGGTCTAATTAGTTGAACAGCTGCCGGCGAACTGAATCCGATTCCGCTGATGACCCGCTGTTTAGCTGTTTAGCTCATCCGACTGCCCTGAGAGATGCTCATGATCTATCGCAGGTCTGAACTTGAAAAATCAATTTAAAATGCAATAGATTGTTGAGATTTAATCTGTCGTTTAATTCTGATGAATGAATGAGATTACTTAGAATACTTTGCTTATTTTTTGATAATAATATTTAATTATTACCGAATATATCAATAACACAGCTCAAATTTTATTTCGATAGTGCATCCAGAAAATACTCAGTTTATTTTGTTTATAGTGAATTATAATTACTACACTAAGTTCTAATTAATAGCGCTGCTCAAGTCTGGTGTTTGGTGTCAGAAAGGAACTTAACTAACTGAGATGATATTACTAGTTAATATCAGTCATAGTTTGATCAGTTTTTACTGTTCAGACTACCTATCAAATATCGTTAATAAGAAATCTGTAACACTATTAGACAAAATCCCCTTATGTGAGGTACATCCCCAACTGCTTGGAAAGCGCAGAGATTGCACTTCAAGTTCGCTCAGGCCCAGTGAGATATGTATTCTATGCCTTGAATGCCTATGCCTATGTTAACTTATAGGATATTTCTATAGGGCCATTTCTGTATCGTATTCACTTTTAATTGGAGATTCTAGGAAGATATTAGTTTATGATATCTCTAAGTAAGAAAACTTCAACCACTAGAATCGGTTCTTAAACACACTCCTTGCTTAACTAGCACACTTTGTTTTGTTTGCTTTTATAAATATAAATGACATTGGGAAAAGTAAGTTTTAAATTCAATAAAACAGGTTCAAAGATTATGAAATGTCATTACCATTCATCCATCATTAAGTCATAAAATCTGGTAGAACTCCCTGACTGTTAAAGCTTTTTAGACTATGGAATATATTTTTCTTTCCTTAAATATGTTGCAGTGTATTCAAAAATAATAAATTATAAATTAAGTAGTTTATTTTTACAATGTATTTAAGTTTGTCATATACTTATGTGGGACATTTTCTTGCAAATTAGTTGACCTCTTCAGTAACCTAGAATAGCTGGTGGATCATTTCGGTGTTGCCTACAGCTTCCTCGTACTGCTGGCGGTGCTCCATCTCAACCGGATACCAATCAGTGGGTCGACAGATCCGCCTGAACCGCTCGCCAAAGGTTCCGCTGCTCTGGTAAAGGCAGTAAAATCCATAGCCAGGTATCGCCAGAATCGGTAAAAACACCAAAAAAATGGATAATAATAGTACAAATATTGAGGAGAAAGAGTGTTCCGCTAAAGACATAGATATTCCTGTCATCTAGAAGAAAATGCATGGTTAGGCTTTTAAAATACAATAAAATATGTAAAACTAGTAACAAACCAGGCAGATCACTAAAATAATCGGAGCTATGAAGCGGAGTATGAAAACCTTCCAGGAGGCAAACGGCAGCCCCAGCATGAACTCAATATCCCGCTGGAAACGTTGCCGCCCGTAAACCCACAAAACCACCAAAAGGAGGAGTAAGTGGAGCACATTGTGTGTGAAAATGGCATCAACCCCCAAGGCAGAAAGGAAAACAATTCCATGCTGAATAAAATTAAAGATCAAAAGGTTTATATCATCGCCTTACTCCAGATATTCGATAACTACTTACATTCGTGCAGAAGAAGAAGGAACAGACTGCCAGGCCTCCAATAAGGCCAAAGGTTACTTCCATTTTTCGCTCTCTAAGTGTTTCAAACTCGTCGAATAAACTTTGCAGGACCGTAAAGATTTGTGTCGACTAGAATGAAAAACATATAAGAATATTTACAAAATTGAGCATTAAATACTTTTCAATGAACTAAAACAATATTCAGTTCAGTCATAACCTGCAGAAAATAATCAAGCTTCGGCTTAGCAAAGTGAGATTCGTTCCTTTTTTTTATTATATAAATATATAATAACAATAATACTTACCATTACAATAAGAGCCCCCATTAGTAACATAGTATAGTACAGAAAAGTCCAGAGGTTTGCCCATCCCATTGTGGACAAGGCACTGGCACTGGACAAAAACAACAGCCAATGACTCAGAACTGCTGCATCGGGCGAAGCTTCGGCAAGCTCTGCAATCAAGAACTGCAATTTTTAAAGGCTATCAAAAATGAAGTATTGTAATTACCGTTGTAGTGGTGTTCAATCATAAAGGAAACCATGTTAAACATAATGTAAATGAAGATCTGGCCGAAGGAGATGATCCAACTGTACGACATTATGTTGGTCCTGAACCCATTGAAGCTGGACAGGGCTATGACACTGCCCCAGCCAGCCCCAAATGCATGTAGAACTATGATGAATGTTGAGCCGACTCCCATTGCCATATCTTCAAAGTTGGGAGCCATATATCTGCTTAGACCTTTCAAGGCTCCTGAGAGAAACGAGAAGCGGACAAAGCACACCAGCAGAAGGGTCAGCGTTCCAACAACCATATATCGTATAAACTTTCCAAACTTTGCTGTCTCTGAAAACTTATAAAATATAGCCGCAATCATGGCCCAAACTAGAACGAAGAGGCCGACAAAATGCCAGGATAACTCATACTCCGCTATTCTTTCTTGAAATCGATCTTTTCTTAAACTGTCAAAATGATTTCTGAAAATACAGTCAAAAATAGTGATTAGATTAAAAAGCAGTTAAGAAATCTTTGATTTGACTGTTTCTGCATTCTTACTGAAAGTATAGCACGGAAGGTACATGATGTGCTTTTATGTACAAATCTGTGTCGTTAACAAAATCCACATCATCCAGAGTTATTGAAACGTTGCAGGTCTAAAAGTACACAAAATAAATGTTATTTATAATTTTATCATTAAATTATCACACCATTATCTTACAGTGAATTTCTCAGATTCATTACTATGCCAGGATGCTAGCCCCTCACAACTCCAAGGCAAAGTTGGACGAAAAGAGTTCACCATGAAGAGAAGCGGAACAGCAGCAAAAATGCTGTAGTAAATGAGCATGGAGATGGTCAGAAACAAGCTGACATACCCCATTCCTAGAATTCAAATTGTCATATAACAGATCATGACTCCCTTGGTTAAGACCACTTACCTTTAAAGAAAGGAGCCAGCCGAAATGCCGAGATAAATCCACTGCTGGAAAATTGTCCCATGAAAGAGTGAATGACCATGATTGGAACCAAATAGATCACCATGTACACAAAGTATGGCAGTATGCCAAGAACTAAAGCAATAAAAGTGGAAACTCTTTTATGTTTTTTAAGCCAAATATCATTGCATGTCAAATATTAGGTTGTCAAAAAAGTCTCGCGGTATTTTCGCTAGTTGGCGCTGAAAGCGCGTAGTTCTTGTTTTATTCGTCGCATTAGGTAATACTATACCTTTTTGGAAAGCTCATTTCATTTTGATTGATTGTCTTTTCTTTTAAGTCGTTCGTGAGTTATAACGTCGCAATCATGGAGCAAAATAAAGAGAAAATACGGCATATTTTACAGTACTACTACGATTAAGGCAAAAATGCATCTCAAGGCGCCAATAAAATTTAAGCAGTTTGTGGACCCGATACAGTTTCCATTTCCACCGCACAACGATGGTATCAACGTTTTCGTTCTGGTATAGATATGGTCGAAGATGCGCCACGCTCCGAGTTTTTTACCAATAGGGAAGCGAGCTTCTATGAGAGGGGCATTATGAAGTTGGCATCTCGTTGGGAACGCGTCATCGACCAAAACAGCGCATATTTGACTTGAATTGCATTACTGCAACCAATTTTATAGCGCAAGACTTGTTTGGCAACCTAATCAAAGTCAATCTTATCTACGAACTAAACAATAAATGAGTCATGGGGTAATAGTCAGGTTAGTACGTATAATCGTGGGCAACGCAACGCCCCAAAAAAAAAAATATCTATAAATATAGGGATTTTGCTTTATCAATTACTTACTGCCCATATCAAAGAACATCCAATAGGAGGCCATAAAAACATCGAGCTTTAAAGCTAATCCCAAACAGGCAAATACGTAGTCCGTGGGTTTTTCCCACTTTCCTCGATTTAAATCGGGAGATACAGGCTTAAGACCCGTTCCGTACGATGTTTCATTAGACATGTTGCGATGGCAATATTAGTTAATTTTACTTTTACTTTTATGTCTCCGAAATAGTAGAATAGATGAATTATTAATATTCCGCAACCGCTTAACTCGAAGTAATTAGTAGAGACAATTCCGGCAAACTAAATCCGATCCGCAGCTGAGCGGCTGCCTTAGCTCATCTCTCTGGGCCAGATGTTCATGCCCTATCACAGGGAATTCGTACTTGGTCTTCAATTATAGAAGAAAATATATGGTTCTAAAAGTGAAATATTTTAAAGTGTTTATAAATCCAAAACCTTTTCCACAGTCCACTAGAAATTTTTCATTTTCATAGAGTTTTACCTTTATTTTTTTTTTAAGATACCAAAAATATTTTCTGAAACGGCAATAACAATTATGTAAGGGTATTTTCAGTTCTTTTCTTTTTGCTATTTGGCTTTTAATTCGGAGAGCTTTTAATCTGTGTTTGTCTCACTTGAGTTTTCCTATTTGTCGTTTTAGTGAGAGAACTGGAAACTGATACTATATTACCCCAAAATAATCAGGCAACTGTTTGTTGGCGAGAATCTGGGAGAAAGCTCAATGAAAAATCTCGGGGAAAACTCAATGAGCAATTGACAAATATTTACGCTCTTTCTGTGGCTCTCAATGAAGCGCTGATTACGTACTTATAATTATCATACTATTCAGTACCATTAGGAATACTATATTCAGGTAGTTTAAACGCTGTTATGGCTATACAAAATGTAAGACTAATTATATTCGATAACCTGGTTGAACTTTCTTGGCTATCAAATGTGTCTTATAAAGCGTTTCTTAAAGAGGTGTTCATATATATTTGAAAATATATTTTAAAACAATTTTAAAAACGACTTTGGCCCACATTTCCAAATATATATTTCGAAATGACCTTAATGCTATTTTAATCTAATCAAAAACAGAACAGCCCAAAAACTGGATTCCCATAACTCATCACTAGTCTTATGACTCAGGAGTATACAGTGATGGGAGCATTGCGTTTCAGAGAAATTACTTGAAGCTTACTTGACGGCTTGGCCGAAACATCCAGTTTAGTGGAAACCGCCAATGGCGGTAGCCTCCTACTTAAGGAATAGAACGGAAGGTACGTGAAGAATAATAGCCATTATACGACTCCAAGGCAAAGTGGGTCAAAAAGAAAAGCGGAATAGCAAAATTGCTGTACTAAACCACAGATGCAGATGCAGATCAGGGGGAATATTTTCATTACAAAAACTAATATTAGCGAAGCATGTAAATTTAAATTTAAAAACCAGTCGCAAAGTACTCTTTAAATTTAAAATAAACTGCCACCTCAAGTAGTACTCTTTAATGTAGAGAAATTTTCAAAAACCTAATAATAATAAACGTATAATAAAAACTTTGTAACCCGTGCCGGTTACCATATCATTGTTTTATTAGCGCCATCTATGGTTAAGTAGCCTATCATGTATTTTTGGAACAGCTGTCGTCGAACTGTATCCGATTCCGTTGATGACCCGCTGTTTGGCTTTTTGTTTTTTTTTTTTTGTTTGGCTCATCCGACCGCCATAAGAGATGTTCATAGTTAGATTAGTTTTGTCGTTTAATAAATTCATAAAAGTTTAATACATCAATTACATGAAATGAAAAGGAAGTAAACTAACTCAGATGACATCATTTGTTAACAAGAAGTCAATATATATCTAGGATCACTCTCTTCTTTTCATCCCCTATAAATTATCTTTTTTAACAGCTCGCTATTCCCTTAATGTGATACTACTGCTATGGACTGAGACTTTCTCTTGATGATATGTTTGTATGTTTTGGAAGGTTCATGGTAAGATTCTTTGATTCTGAAGAATCATTTCCAGATCATACTCAACATGTAGTCAGGATTCAAGGATGATATCTACTTTCGATACCTTAACGGGTCTAGAAAAAGCACTTTGAAGCCTCTGTAATGTTTGAAACTTAAATCTAAAATAGTAATAATGTTCCGGTAGTCCCAAATAAATTTCCACAATGTATTCAAGAATCTTATTTATTAATAATATTTGAGCATTAGAAATCTTCTTGACCATTAGTTGACCTCTTCGGTAACCTCGAATAGCTGTTGGGTCATCTCGGTGCTGCCTACAGCTTCCTCGTACTGCTGGCGGTGCTCGATCTCAACCGGATACCAATCGGTGGGTCGGCAGGTGCGTCTAAACCGCTCGCAAAAGGTTCCGGTGCTTTGGTAGAGGTAGTAAAATCCGTAGCCAGGTATTGCTAGAATGGGTAACGCTACCAGTACAATAGATATAATGGTGATCACTGCTGAGGAGAAAAAGTGATCCATCATGGAAATACCTAATCCTGTCAACTAGTATGAAATAGACATTCAAGTTTTTTAAATACAATTAAAAATATCAATTAATAACAAACCAGACATATCACCAAGATAAACGGAGCTATGAAGCGGAGTATGAAAACCTTCCAGGAGGCAAACGGCTGCCCCAGCATGAACTCAATATCCCGCTGGAAACGTTGTCGCCCGTAAACCCACAAAACCACCAAAAGAAGCAGTAAATGCAGCACACTATGAGAGAAAATGGCATCATGACCCAAGGCAGTAAAGAAAACCACTCCATGCTAAAAACCATAACAAAAAAAATGGTTCATATTGTGGCAGTAATATAGATATTCGATAGCTTCTTACATTTGTGCAAAAGAAAAAAGAACAGACTGCCAGGCCCCCAATAAGGCCAAAGGTTACTTCCATTTTTCTTTCTCTAAGTTCTTCAAACTCATCAAACAAACTTTGCAGGACAGTGAAGATTTGTGTCGACTAGAATGAATAAATAAATAATAAATAAAAAGTAAGAAAGTTAATAAACTGAAACATTATAAAGGTGATTTGGTTCCATCATTGGCTTAATACAATTCACTTTATCGTAAATTTAACATGGACACAACAGCAAGAGTGCTTAAACTCCAGGCTGGCCAAGTTACACTTACATATATCTATTACTTACCATTACAATAAGGGCCGCCATTAGCAGCATAGTATAGTACATGAATGTCCAGAGGTTTGCCCAACCCATGGAGGACAAAGCAGAAGCACTGGACAAAAACAAGAGCCAATGGCTCAAAACTTTTGCTTCAGGCGAAACTTCAGTAAGCTCTACAATCATAACTACATTGGTTTAAGAGCTATCAAAAATGAAGTATTGAAATTACCGTGGTAGTGGTGTTCAATCATAAAGGAAACCATGCCAAACATGATGTAAATGAAGATCTGACCGAAGGAGATGATCCAACTGTACGACATTATGTTGGTCCTGAACCCATTGAAGCTGGACAGGGCTATCACACTGCCCCAGCCAGCCCCAAATGCATGTAGAACTATGATGAATGTTGAGCTGATTCCCATTGCCATATCTTGAAAGTTGGGAGCCATATATCTGCTTAGGCCTTTCAAGGCTCCTGGGAGAAACGAGAAGCGGACAAAGCACACCAACAGAAGAACCACTGTTCCCATAACCATATATCGTAGGAATTTTCCAAATTTCGCGGTCTCTGAAAACTTATAGAATATAACTGCAATCATGGCCCAAACTAGAACGAAGAGGCCGACAAAGTGGCAGGATAGCTCATAGTCCGCTATTCTATCTGGATATTTAAATTCTCTTAAACTGTCAAAATGGTTTCTGCAATTAGAGCCACAAATAATTTTTAAAAATTCATTGGTTATTGTCTAACACATAGATGAGATCTGCAACTTACTGAAAGTAGAGCACAGAGGGCACATGATGTAGTTTTCCATAAAGATAACTATCGTTATCGAATTCAAGACTTACTGACACGTTGCAAATCTTGAAGTACGCAAAATTAGTATTATTCACAAATACTTTACTAACACGTTCTTACAGTAAGTTGTTCACTTTTGTGCCACGACTCTAATCCTTCACAACTCCAAGGCAAAGTTGGACGAAAAGAGTTCACCATGAAGAGAAGCGGAACAGCAGCAAAAATGCTGTAGTAAATGAGCATGGAAATGGTCAGAAACAAGCTCACATACCCCATTCCTAGAATTCAAATTGTCATATAACAGATCAAGACTCCCTTGGTTAAGATTACTTACCTTTAAAGAAAGGAGCCAGACGAAAGGCGGATATGAATCCACTGCTGGAAAACTGCCCCATGAAGGAGTGAATGACCATGATTGGGACCAAATAGATCACCATATACACAAAGTAAGGCAGTATGCCAAGAACTAAAGTAATAAAATTGGAAATCATTTTTGTGTTTGTTAAACCAAATATATTGTTAATCAGAAAAATGATCATATAGGTGGTATACAATGAATGAGTCATAGGGTGATATGTCATTTGAGATGCTATATTTATTTAATCATTGGCAACGCAACGCGCAAAAAAAAACAATTATATATATATAATATTGAGATTTCGCTTTATCAATTACTTACTGCCCATATCGAAGAACATCCAAAATGAGGCCACAAAGACATCGAGCTTTAAAGCTAATCCAAAGCAGGCGAATATATAGTCCGATGGTTTTTCCCACTTTCCTCGACTTAAATCGGGGGATACAGGCTTAAGCCCCGTTCCGTACGATGTTTCATAAACCATGTTGCGATGGCAGATTTAATTAATAATTGTTTATACTAAGTTGCTTTTAAAAAGCCTTTAATGTCTCCGAAATATGATTGTGAGGAGGAATTATTATTAATATTCCGCAACCGTTTTACTCGGACTAATTAGTAGGGCCGATGCCGGCAAACTGAATCCGATTCCGCAGCTGAGCGGCTGCCTTAGCTCATCCCTCTGCCCATGCCCTATCACTGGGAATTCTTACTTGGTCTTCAATTATAGAAGGAACTAAATGGAACTGAAAGTGGAATAAGGCAAATTACTGCAACCTTTTGCACATTCCAATAGAAACTTTTTATTTTAAAGGTTTTTTCTCTTAATCTTCTTAAAGCGATCAAAGTATTTTCTGAAACGAAATTGATAATTAGGTAAGGGTATTTCCAGTTCTTTTCTTCTTCCTATTTGGCTTTAAATTCGCATTATCAGAGCTCTTAAATCTGTGTTTGTCTCACTTGAGTTTGCTTATTTGTCGTTTCAGTGAGAGAACTAAAAACTGATACTATATTTCCTCAAAATAATCAGACAATTGCTTGTATGCGAGTCATTACATCTGGGGGAAAACTCAATGAGAAATGGAAAAATATTAACGCTATTGCTGTTGTTATTAATGAAGCGCTGATTATGTTTAATTCATTCTGACACTGATATCGCTTATGTTCAAGTGGGCGTTAAATTTGAGTTCTATTAATTATTGATTAGTCTTAGACTGCACTAGTGTTTAATATAAAGCTAAAGCTGATAAGAAATTGTTTTCCCATAATAATCTGTAGCATAAGAACTATTATCAATTTGTTTCAATGCGGTTATGGCTATAAATATATGAGACTAATTGTGTTTGATAACCTCGTTGAACTTTCTAAGCTTTTAAATGTGTTTTATAATGAATTTCTTTAAGAGGTGTTCACATATAATTTCAATTAGGAAAAAGCTTTCAAATTCAATAGATATTTGAAATTAAAAATTTTTTTTGTTCATAATATTTATTTCAAATATTTAAGTATTTGGTATTTTCAGCTTGTGGTAGATCTCACAAAATGTACCAGCCTAAAAGTAGACAATTCTTTTATTATCTATCGAATATCGTAATGCAAAAAATAAGCGTAATATTAAGAGCGATTTATTGCTAGATCTTATTGTTATGACTTATATTTCCAAAATATATATTCAGTTAATAAGCCAGAAATATTATATATTCGCATGGCTCTGCTCTTGACATTATATCACAATCTATTTAATAAAGATAACAGCATGGGGATGGTCAGTAGGTCGTTCACGTATCCCGTGCCTAAACTTTAAATTGCAAACATAACTAACATTTTCAAGTACAAGTAAGTAAATTAAAATTAAAAACTTAATTACTTAGTCGCCGTCCCAATAAACTCGGCGCTTTTCTTCTTACATCTAAGGCAAGGCATTCTGAAATTCAGATGCTTATTACAGTATTTAAAAAAAAAAGGCCCAGGGCTGCAAGATCGAAACCGATAGATTCGATCGATTACTACCGCGCCAAATTTAATCCTTACCGGATATCTTAGCAAACAATAATTGCTTTTTGCCAACAGACGCAATCAAGATTGGAACTGCCTTCCTGGCGGATACAGTGTACAATATTTTCCAGCCTTAGGACAATATTTGATCGTTCGCCAAATAAATGCTCTGATAACGGCTAAATTACACATTATATCATGGGGCACATTTTGAGGCCGTAATCTCAGCGGGCTGTCATATGTCTCACGAACGAGATAATAAATAAATCCAAATGCACATCTTTAAGGGGCAGATAGTACGTCTCCATGGACCCTCGACTTAGTCAGTGTCAAGCGGTCAGGCAATCAAGTTGAGCTCTCTCACTATATCTTCGCTATCGTCTTGGCTGCAGCCTAATTCAATTAAAATTAAAACGCAGATCTACGCGACCGAGTGAAATTGCCCCAAATTCTCGACAATTATAGGCCACACTCGTCAGTAATCTCGCATCTGCGTAGGCAGCAATATCTGAATCTCGGTCATGCAAGCGGACGCATCTCCATTGGGAGCTGCTGCCACGGAATCCCTGCCAATGCACCGATCCACTTCCATGCCAGTGAAACCCAAGCCGCTGGAGCAAAAGCCATTGCTTCGATCCTCCGAAAAGGAGACGGTGAATGCTACGGATTACTATCCGGAAAGTCCAGGTTTCGTACGTCGCAGAAAGTCCAAAACTGCCGCGGATCAGCTGGAAACACGAAGCGAACAAAAGTGAGTAATACTTTTGGTTAGCTTTTGTACTTCATATGGACATATATCTTTCGGATCATTGCTTAGAGAAATGGTATACTATTTTGTATCTAATATCATTTTAAAATTTTTTAGTTTCCCTTATACACACGACTGGGCCGGCAGCACAATAGAGCTTACGCCAGATGTGGGTTCGGGACCGGGAACATCATCATCGGATGGATTGAGACGAGGCCTGCATCGCGTTATGGAAAAGAATGGCAAGGAGAACGTTGTATTCCGTCGAATCCCAGAGAAGTCCTGGCGCTATATGAGGGATCTGGTAACTACACTGGTAAGATCCTGGTTCGGCCTCAAAAACACAACACCGTCTAAAGTCGATCCATTGCGATCGGATGTGTATAGCATAACGCCCAGCATTCAACGCCGGCTCGATGAACTGGCCAATGAGCCACCGCACCTAAGTCCTCATCTTACGAGGTCTAATCCTAACCAGAGCGACCGCGTCACATTTAGCATTTAGTTTTTAATGCCATTAATCAATCCATGACCCACTGAAATACTCATTAACAATAATAAATTAAACTTATTAACCAGCTCATATATCAACTTGCATTGCTAATATTGGGATTATATCTTTAACTTAGTATTGATATAAATAAGATGGGTTCATGTGTTCCTTTGGTAATACATAAAGGCCGTTTCTTTTAAATCACACAGATGGAACTAGAGTGGAAATATATGCTGACTTTGTTCCTGGGAAGTTACTTCCTCAGCTGGCTGCTCTTCGCCGCCCTGTGCTATGTGGTTTCATATTCCCACGGGGACTTCATCTTTGACCCTGTGAGTGGAAAACGAATGGGCGAGGGCGAGGATCCCTGCATTTATGGGGTAACAAACTGGGTGGCTATGCTCATATACTCAGTAGAGACACAGACGACTCTTGGATTTGGTGAAAAGTACGCCAGCGAGGAGTGCCCGGAGACCATCTTTCTGTTCGTAATGCAAATGATGAGTGCAGCCCTAATTGAGGGCTGTATGGTGAGTGTAATCTATGCCAAGACAGCCCGACCTGCCAGGCAGCTGACCAAGTTGAAGTTCAGCGATAAGGCGGTGGTAGGTAGACTCCGTCTCTAAGGAGAGTGCCTCTTTTAATTATCTCACGCAGATCTGTTATCGTGACGGGCGCCTATGTTTACTCTTCCGTGTGTGTGATCCCCGCGAGCAGCAGTCCATTGAATCAAAAATACGGGTCTATATTATCGTGGACAAACGGTGAGTCATTTGAAATCACTGATCTCTTAGCATATCTAAAAATGAGAAGAGTTCTAGTTCTTTAATAATTACATTTAACTTCGAAAGCTAAGTTAACTTGACCTACAAGTTAGATAACACTTGCATCTAGATAAGACTTGCAATTACTATGATTTCTCACCTTATTTATTCCGCTGTCAGCACGCGCGAAGGTGAGGTTATAAAAACTCATTTGGAACTGAAACTGGAGGGAAATGGGGAGCAAATTATTCTCTGGCCCGATTTAGTCTGTCATTATATTGATGAGACGAGCCCACTTTTCCAGTTTACCAACGCGAAACTCTTCAATGCAGCCCAATTCGAACTCTATGTGTCCATCGTTGGCACATCGCCGGCTACTGCCCAAATTACGGAGACCAAGACTTCTTATCTTCCGAGAGAGATTTTCTGGGGCCAACGGTTTGTTAACATTTTATTTTATGATGACCAGAACGAACGCTACTTCGTCGACTACGAGAACTTCAATACGACCATTTCAGTGGACATGCCCATGGTGCTGCCAGCAAATGATCACTTGAAACTGGAGTACAGAAAGTAAAAGTGTATAAAAGTATAATATATTACAAAAAAAAATTAACTATCGCTATAAACATTTGATAACATTATAATAAAGTTTTGTAGAAAACAAATTAAAAGATTTTTAAAGGCCGTATTAGAAATGCATTAACATTATTTTCTATATAGGATCTTATATCTCAGACTTAACTGCAAAATTCTTCACTTATACATTTATCTTCATATATTAACTTAAATTTCTTTGACGCTTTGCGTATTTCAATAATGTTTCTTGGGATTCAAAAATAACAACTAATTAGATACAATACCAAGAATATTTAAATAAATAATTGAAACATTAAAAAGATGTTAAAGTACTAAAGTTTATTCTCCACAGGATTCGGTTTGCTCCTGCTCCTGATAGAACTTCACCTTAGCTCTCAACATTTCATTTTCATATTGTAGGCGCGAAAACTCTTGCATGAAGCTATCTCCTCGGAGGAGTAAGGCCAGGGCGTCGCGCATCTCTCTTGTGTTTTCCATCTGCTGATTCATGTAGTTTGTCATCTTGGTGGCTAAATGTCGCTGATTGAACTGGGCAATGTATTCCAGTTCCCGCTCCATCTGTCCGCAGCGTTGATCTACAAACTCCTTTAGCTCGCTAAATTCCCTGCGCAAGTCTGCATCCATTTGTGCAGATAGTCCGCTTGATGATTTTGCCAGCAACTGCTGAGGCTTCAACTGTGGGTTTGAGGATAGTGGTGTGACATTTGCATGATGCGGCGTACTGTTCCTACTGGCCGAAAGCAAACGCAAACGACGTTTCAATTCGGCGTCCACTGGCGGGGGATTCTCCTTGTCACTCCCTGCACCTGTGCTACTGGCTTCAGAAATATTACCCAACTGTTCCTCGCTGTGCTCATCGGTCTCGGCAATTATCATGAGCTTTCCCTCGGCAGAGATGTTGCTCTTATCCTTGAGTGGGCCGCTTAATGCCTCTGTATGAGAGCAATACTAAACTAGAGAAATAAAATAATTTAGCCTGAACAGTAACTCACGTTGAAGTGACTCCGTGGTGGAACTGTTGCAGGAACTGTCCACCGAGCTGACACCTGATCCCACTGGAGGGCAAAAACTCTGACGTTGGGCAGTTTCATTGTGAGTCGGCTTTCGATTAAGGGTCTCCCAGTCAAAGCTGTCCCTGTAAGAAGAACCCAACCGAGTAGACATGCGATCCACAGCCTTCGGACCTTGGGCATCTAAAAAATCGCAGAAGGAATCCCTACGAACACTTGCAGAAGCCGCCACGCCAAAACCGAGACTGGCTATACTGTTTAGTTGCTGCTGGGTGTTCAGCAAACTAGCGGCAATTGATTTTCGCAGCTCATCACTGGAAGAACGTTCTACACGAGGTGCTTCGGTTACCAATTCAGTTGCATTTCCTGAACTATTAAAGCTGCCATTCTGTTGATTTATTCCGCTTGGTATAGGCACAAAAGCCACCCGGGTCACTGCCGCTTCGTGTGCATTCCTCACAGCCAACGGAGCAGTTGTGTTTCTCATATCATAGGCTATCAATTCACCTTTAAGGTTTCCAGCACACAGGTAAGTCCCACATTCACTCAGTGCCACCGTTGAAAGCGGATGGGAGTAGGACAAGCGATCAGTGGAAGCCTGAGCCCTATTCCGTCGGATGTCGAAGATGTTTATTTTGCAATCGTAGCCCACGCTGACCAGCAGCGCAGGCTGGGATGCACACATGCTGATGTCCCGGCAGGGAGCACTGTGCGCCTCGCTGGCGTGAAAGACCTTCCGCATGCCCTGCACATCATACACGGTCACGGCGCCTTTGTATGAGGCGATCGACAGGTGAAAACGCTTGCTCGGATGAAAACGTACAAGAGTGGAGCTGAAATTATATACATTGCAACTCTAACAGAAATATTGAACAGGATTCAGAATGTTTAACTCACTCGCCATCTATGGTAAAAGTGTTAGTCTTCTGTTTGGTCTTGGTGCCTAGAATACTAATATCCCCGCCATCGCGAACGGCGGCTATATACTCATCGGTGTTGTTGTAGTCCATGTAGAGAACAGTGCTCCTCTGCGGATCTGCCGGAAACCGGTGGATCAGCTGCGCTGTCCGAAAGTTATACAGCTTGACACAACCGCTCTGGCCCACGGCAATCTCCTCCAACGATTGCTTGGCACACGCCACACAGAAAGCATTGTCGATGGTCAGTTTCCGGACACGTTGTATCTCGGGTCCTGTTTAGTGGACATATTATTAATTGGGATGAAATGTGGATCCTAACCTCTTTGTTACCCCTTCCTTCCTTCTCCTTGATTCGCATGACCGCTAAGCCCGCCATTTTATCCACCTCGACGAAAACCCGCCGCTGGCCATTGAATTGGAAATCCGTCGGCTCGGAACTTTGGTGAACATACTCAGACTTTGTCTCCAGATCGGCGAAATCGGAGAGCACGGTCTTCTTGGAAGTGGAAATCACATACATTTTTTTATTTCTGTTGATGTTTTCAAAATTCAAATTTGAGTGCTTCTTGCTGGCGGAGATTAAGCTGCTAAGTGTGCCCGTCGCTTGTTACTAACGAATTACCAAATAGCAATTTTGGTATTCGTTTTCAGTGGTTTTACAAAACATTAAAGGAAACATATAAAATCGAAACGTACAATCGGTTTTCTACACCATTTTGTAACATCCGACATAACTTTCAATAATACCAATTTTATTGTTATATTTTATTTATTTACAATATGAAACGTTAGTTAGTTTAATCTAAATCCAATTTGCAATAAACTGAAGTTAAGTTGTTCGTTGGGTGTAGCTGTGGCAGCCGTAGTGTGAACGCCTCGGCGAGTGCGGTCGCACTTGTCATTCACAGCCAAATTCATCGGATCATTGGCAGAAGGGCAAGAAGAAGAGCAAGCAATCACCTGCGAAAAAGAAATAAATTGCCAAGAAATGTTAAAGACCTTGTAGTGCGGCTGTTTGGCGTGCGTTGAAATGATTCCTGGCGACCAGTAGAAGCATTTAGTGACCACGCAACTCATCCCCCATCCCCCGCTGCAACGGTTAAGCCACTGGACAAAGGCCAGCCTACAACAACACCACAAAGACAGCCACGGCTTATTGGCACCCACACAAACACACACGCACACACTGCGTAGAAGGCAACAACAACTGTGAAACGGAGGCCTTCAATTGCTGGAAAAATGGAAGCGGACGGACTAACCAACGAACAGACGGAGAAGGTGCTTCAGTTCCAGGATCTCACCGGCATCGAGGACATGAACGTGTGCCGCGACGTCCTTATCAGACACCAATGGGATCTCGAGGTATGCATATGTTTATGTGCCCAAACAGTGACGGTCGAAAAAGAGAGACACGTATGATGCCACTATGGCATACAGTGCAAACTCAAATAGTGAACCGTTAGTGGGAAAAAAATAAAAAATTTTATGGCCTTATTAAGGGTAACTAAGTCTAAAATTAAAACATAATTTGGCTTAACATTTAGATTTCTAGTTCTATAAAATGTTTTCTGCATATTTCTTTACAGGTTGCTTTTCAGGAGCAGCTGAACATCCGCGAGGGTCGCCCCACAATGTTTGCTGCTTCCACGGATGTACGAGCGCCCGCTGTGATTAACGACAGATTCCTGCAGCAGGTGTTTTCAGCCAACATGCCCGGGGGAAGAACAGTGAGCCGGGTGCCGAGTGGCCCTATACCCCGCAGCTTTACAGGGATCCTTGGCTATGTGATCAACTTCGTTTTTCAATATTTCTACTCCACCCTGACGAGCATCGTTAGTGCGTTTGTAAACTTGGGCGGTGGAAATGAAGCACGCTTGGTAACAGATCCGCTGGGCGATGTAATGAAGTTTATTAGGGAGTACTACGAGCGGTATCCGGAGCACCCCGTCTTTTATCAAGGTACCTATGCCCAGGCCCTGAATGATGCCAAGCAGGAGCTACGTTTCCTTATCGTCTACCTGCACAAGGATCCTGCCAAGAACCCTGATGTGGACTCTTTCTGCCGCAACACACTATCGTCAAGATCAGTCATTGACTATATAAACACACACACCCTGTTGTGGGGCTGCGACGTGGCCACTCCGGAGGGTTACCGGGTGATGCAGTCGATCACGGTGCGCAGCTATCCACTAATGGTAATGATCAGTCTTCGTGCAAACCGCATGATGATCGTCGGTCGCTTTGAGGGGGATTGCACACCTGAAGAGCTGCTGCGTCGCCTTCAGTCAGTGACGGCCGCCAATGAAGTGTGGCTAAGTCAAGCTCGTGCTGATCGCTTGGAGCGTAATTTCACACAGACTTTGAGGAGACAGCAGGACGAAGCGTACGAGCAAAGTTTACTTGCCGACGAGGAAAAGGAGAGACAGCGCCAAAGGGAACGGGATGCAGTGCGGCAGGCGGAGGAGGCCGTAGAACGAGCACGTCGCGATGTGGAGCTGCGCAAGGAAGAAATAGCCCGGCAGAAGATCGAACTGGCCACGCAGGTGCCATCGGAGCCGGCTGTGGATGCAGTCGGGGCCATTGCAGTCGTTTTTAAACTGCCTAGTGGAACACGCCTTGAGCGCCGCTTTAACCAAACGGATTCGGTGTTGGTAAGCTAAAACTGATTATGATTACTCATCAGAGAGTTTACGAATTGCTCATCATCGCCTTATTGGTTTCTTTTTAAATTTTTTTTTTTTTAGGATGTTTATCACTATCTCTTTTGCCATCCCGATTCACCGGATGAGTTCGAGATCACAACGAATTTTCCGAAAAGAGTGCTCTACTCGAAGGCGGACGTTGATGCCGCCGAGGGTGCTGACAGAGCCAACGAGACGCTGAACAAGAGCCTCCAGGACATGGGACTGAAGAATCGCGAGGTGCTGTTCGTAAATGATCTGGAAGCGTAACCAAGCACCACCTACCAAATGATAGCATCATCGTGTTACCAGCTGCAACGCATTACCAAAACTTGAACCAAGTTTTATGTAGTCGTAGTCAACGTCCAAGTCGGAGGATAAACAGAGAAACTATTCCTAATTTAATCATGAATATTATTATAAATAATTGTTTAACAATGTTTTAAGTTGATTCTCTTGTAATCTACAAACCACCACCCACCCGTTCCTCCTTTAAACATTCACACATAAGTAAAAGTCTTTTCCAGAATAATTTCCAAGTTCCACATTTTTAGTTTCTTTTTAATTAAGAATTTTTTGTTATGTTTAGCTGTACTTATACTTCCGTCTATTTAACCAAAATAGAGCCAGAGTCTTGTTAGTTGACAAAGAGTTTGAATTTAACCTGAATGTGGTCGAATGAAATAAATTGAAGTTATCAATAATCATTTTTAAGCCAGAGCGTTCAATTAAATATGGAACATCTTATCACGAAAAATATAGATGTAAAAATATTACTTAAAATTAAAAACACAGTTTTTGAGTGACAAATCAAAATAAATCTACCTTTGATTTGTCAAAACATTCCGTTTGTCTCTCTCTATTAAACAATAATTAAGGGCTAAAAAATATCATAATTAATTTTCCATTTCAATTGGTACAACTGAAAGAAATAAATTAAATCTGAATTTAAAATATCGTTATCTATCAGCTTTGTAATAAATTTAATTACTTGCATGGCAACGACATCAATTGGATTTATCGATTTCTCATGGTGATGTTCCATTTTGATTTTAGCTTAAGCACGACTCACGCACTTGAACTCCGAAGACATATAAATGTGACATAAAACATCTATTAAAGCTTTGTATATGAATTATCTCTTATTTTGAATTAGCAGCAATAAGTTATAGATAGGTAAGTTAAAAATATCCGCTAAATTATAATGCTTATTTTTGGCACTCACGGCATATATCACGCTCCCATCTCAGATTGAAATAGTCATTCCTTGTTAGTCAGCACGGATTGTCACGACTTTTTCACGTCAAAGTTGAAAATCATCGATTTACGCTGGAATTTCGAGGTCCCGAGGAGAATAGCGACCAAGAAGAAAACTTTGATTGGTTCACCGCCGACGAAAGAACACGTCTGATTCCCGAGAAAAGTGGGATATCGGGAAACTCTAGGTTGCGGCCGAGGATTCGGCAGTTGACTTCCAATCTATTCAACGTGGAGGAGGTTCGCAACATCGCACGCAGCATTCGCCAACCGAATTACCAGAAGTTATTCCAACAGGAACAAGAACGACAAAGACATCCGTAAAAATCCAAAAACCATGTCAGCACCTTCTACTTCCGTGGGCGATGCTGCTGCCGCTCTCTCTGGTAATCTTCAGTTGCCGCCACTTCGTACTCTCGATGACTTCATCCTGGGATCGGCCCGATTCCAGCTGCCCAATCTCAAGGATAGAGAGAAGTGGGGCAATCGAGTGACGAAAAATCTTTTGTACTATCAAACCAACTACTTTTTGCTCTTCCTTACAATCTACGTTTTGATGATATTCTTCAATCCTTCAAAGATTATTACTGGTCTGCTGGTTCAGGCTTTGATAATTGGCGTAATATGGCAATTCTTTAGTGGCAAGTCAAAGAAGAACTTTATTGCCAGTCGTATGACCAGAGGAAATGCTAATGAAGCCGAACAAAATGCCCAACAGAAGTGGTACATCCTAGCTGGAGCCCTCCTCGGAGGATATCTTCTCCTACATCTTCTAAGCGCCGTGCTCCTGACTGCATTCACCGTGCTGTTCCCCGGTTCGATTACCTTTATCCACGCCTCTCTGCGATTGCGAAACATTAAGAACAAGCTGACTAACAGCATTGAGAGCTTTGCTCCATCAACGCCAATGGGCTCTCTGTTCGATGCGCTAAATGTTAGGGCCGAGGGCGTGTTCAACTAGGCCAAGCCTACGTACATATAGACCCGTTTGTCACAACTGGAAATAACGTTTTCATCGCTAGTTATCCCTATCAATGTTGATCTTTGCAAAACAAAAACCCTGTATTATAATTCATTTAATCTTTATTTTTGTATAAACTATGATTTTATTACCAATGCGTGCAGCTATTAAAAATGTCAATAAAGTTCTCACAAGAAATTCGCTTCATTTTGTGGTTAAATGTATCTAATCTTTGAAGGCCAATCCTTAAACTAGTTATTTCTGTGCTACTCAAAAGTATAATTCTTATATAATAGGCAATTTTATATTTTAAAATTTTTTATACTGTTTGATTTATCAACATATCACTTTCTTTCTGTTAATGATAGCTTACCCAAGAATCCCACAGATTCAGCCAATTGATAAAACAAAACACACATCATTAAATCAAAAGTTATAACCTTTAATAGTTTTTTAGCCAACATAATTAAGTTTTTGAGATGGACAAGCAGGCTGTAATTTGCCATTATCATCATATTAATAATAGTATTGACTTTTTATTTCGATTTTCATCTGTTTCGCTATTTTCGTCTTCTTAAGTGGCTAGGGCTTCAGTTGTTTAGTGGATGCAAAGCTGGAGGGTTGGATGCAGCTGTTTCGGTGGCAGTGGCATCATCATTCTTTCCACCCGTCTGAGATAAATGCTTGACAAGGTCCACCCAATCCCAGCCACGTTCCCGATCTCCTTTGTGATCGGATCGTTCCCATTGCCGGCGCTTTTGCGCCTTGGTCAGATGCTCCTTTTTGGGCTCTTTTTTCTTGGCATCCGCATCGGGATCGGAGATCTTGAGAGCACCCACGCCATCATCCACACTTACTATGGTGGGAGCGGATTCGGGCTGGGCAGCAGTCAGTTGCTCCAGATTGTCCTTCAGGCATTCAAAGAGGGTGTAGGTCATGCCACACCCCAACCATTGAGTAGCTTCCGTACTCAGAGCCGTTTGGATTTCGTCCTTAACAGCGGGCAGTCTGAAAAGAAACATGAGGATGGAACAAAGGATTCACTTACAAATGTAATTTCCGCTATAAAATACTACAACTTTTAGTACAATCACATAAAAGGATTATGCAAACTATACTACGCTAGTTAAACGAACTGATATATGGATATGGATATATGGATGTTCCGTTTAGAACTCTAAACAAATTTCCTACTTCAAGTTACATGAAGATCCAAATCCACTTACAGATTCCTATTGTAAAATGTGTTCATATTAATCGTTGGGGCCTCATCTGGATAGTTCTCACCCCATTTCAGCTCCACCAGGAAGGATTTGTAGTTGTCCTCTTCACCATACTAAATTTTAAGTTATTCATTATGAAATTAGAATAGTTGCGTGTAGTTTTTTTATCCATGTGGCTTACTTTGTATTGAAATGTGACGCTGTCTATTTCTTTAAAGTTCGTATCGCCCTCGTAAATGGACTGCAACGCCTCCCGTTCATCTGTTTGCTGTTCCAGTGGCGTGGACATTTTATTATTATTATATATATTTAAAACTTATAGATGTTATTTAAGTGTTTGATCATTTTTTGTTAAAAGTAACACAAAAATCAAAAATGGTTTTGCAACAAAAACAAAAGCAACAGTCAGCTGGCACCGGTAGTAGGGTGACCATAGTTTTTATCTAAATATAAATAGTTTCCACCTTTACCTGCTCATTTCTATTGAAGCACTTTGCATAAGAATTGAAATTTTCAACTAGTAATATTTAAGTTACTAAAAATGTTAAGGTTAATATGACTCCTGTGCACATAATAAATATGTTTGCTTAATATAGAAAATATTTCAATTAAATCCGTAAATAAATAATGTAAGAAATAGCGATGGTGGTGTGAACAATCTGGATGCATTTAGATACTCACGGGAAATCTCCCACTGTTATCGAACCAGTACAGTTCAGGCCGCAGAAAAAAAGAACGCAAACAATAACAACATAAAAACATAATATGCGAAGTGCGCGGGTGAATCATCGTTGAGCAACAATTAAAGTTAATTAACACATGATTGTGCGACGTCATTAGCAGTGGCAACAACAACTGGGGCACACGACCTCGTAAAAAGTATGTCTAAGGATGCGATTCCCGCGTCGGAATGTGCGCACCTGGTGGAATTCAAGAGATTTCTTGCAACTACGGCGGAGAAGGCAGCAGCCGTAAGCGAAGAGGTGCCTAACCGGAGTTGTGTAACCCGTACGACCAGTGACACATACAAAGTGTCTAGCGAGGAACGTCATGCGGAGTTGGTCTCGGCCATTTGGAATCAGCTAGCCTCTCGAGGATGCCCGGAGCAATTCCGGTTGAAACTGCTCCACCGAGCTACGCAGCAGATTGAACAGGATCTATGCTTCGCCAAAGAGTGCGAGGTGACTGGGGAGGGTCCGCCGCAGTACGATCTTCTCAAACTGCAAAAGTTCGTGGCCAGTGAGTTGGAGAAATTTCTTCTGAAACTCACCGACAACTCGGAGGTGGATCGCCTTAAGGATTTTTCTGATGAGCCTGGAGACTGCAAAGGCCATCAGAAGAAGGAACCCCTGCACACATCTGCCGCTGTGAAGAACAAGCCCCGGAAAATGGAAGATCGAAATGTTTGCCTAGAACGATTCGGAGAGATATATGAATTGCAGGACAAAAACACTCGATTCTTTGGTGTCTTCGATGGACACTCGGGCTCTTTATCCGCTAGCTATGCCACTAGCCAACTTCCTCAGCTCCTTGCCGATCAGCTCAAATTGATTTCAGATCATTCTACTTCCGCCCCAGACTTTTATCGAAACGCCTTTGAGTCGTCGTTTTTGCTGGCGGACGAGCGTTTTTCACAAAAGAAGATCACGAGCGGCACGACCAGCGTTTGTGCATTGATCGCTAAAAATCAACTTTATATTGCCTGGGTGGGTGATTCCAAAGCACTTTTAGTGGGCAAGAGAACCCAACTACAGCTGGTGAAACCTCACAAGCCAGAGAATCCAGATGAGCGCAAGAGAATAGAAACAGCCGGTGGTACAGTGCTCCATGCCCAAGGGCAATGGCGGGTAAATGGTATCTTAAATGTGGCGCGCTCTATTGGAGATTATAGTTTAGAGGCAGTGATCGCTGAGCCAGACTTTGTGGATGTGCAGTTAAATGAGGCTCACGACTTTCTTGTCCTCGGCACCGATGGTCTTTGGGATCATGTCCCCGAATCGTTTGTCATTGAAACCGTTTACGAGTCCCTGGCGGATCCCACAACGAAGCTGGACGACATTCCCAAACTACTTATAGAGGCTGCTAAAGAGCGAGATTCGCAGGACAACATAACAGCGGTGGTAGTCTTGCTCAAACCCCGCCATCAAATCGAAAACCTTTAGAAGTGCGAGACTGGTGAATTGGAAATCCAAGCAGATTTTTTTTTTATTGTTACCAGTATTGGAATGGGTTAATTTGTACAAATTGAAAACAGTCTAGGATTCGTAGTAGCAAAAATCTTCAATAATCTCTTTCTGCCTGGGATAATATAAAAATCATATCAAATTTTTATTATTCAAGTAAAAAAATCGTGCCAAACATTTTAAAATAATTCAAAAATGCAATATTAGTTTGATGTTAACATGCATATTGAAGGAATGTAATGAATATATCCCATTTTTAAAATATAATTGAACGTTAAGAGACGTTCACCGTGATACAACGAATATTTGGTATTACTAATGAAAATATTTAATTAACCTAAAGATTACTTTCGGAATCTACACTTATTAATCAACGAAAATTAACCCGGCCCGCATTGTTTTTTCGTTTACTTTATTGTTATATTGTAAATAGCTTTGGAGCGAATCCGATTGCTCCTACCTTTATTGTCACATTCTCACGTGCCTACGTGGTCCTGGAAATGGATGCTCCCTATCCTGGTCCACTTGTTTGGTTGCTCGAATAAGCTCAATCAAAATATTTTGTGGTTGCTCAACAGTTGAAGAAAATTTTAAGAAGTCTTGGCTTAAGGCATATTGTTGTTAGCCCGGATATACATATATACAAAAAGTGCACATGTACGCACAGAAACATGTTTATATATATATTTTAGATCAGCCTGCTTATTTATACACATTGAAGGTGTTTTCGGCCACTTAGTGCTTCCTGCTGTATGATAATAAGCAAAGCCGGGTAAACATACATCATAGACCTAGTTAAATACGTACATATTTACACCTGTAAACAATATTTAATGATCCCACACAGATTAAGTACCTTTTTATACAAATCTAATGAACCTTTCATGCATTTTATCGAACAACCCAAAAACACATTTTTAATGATACACACGCAAATTAATTAAGAAAATTTTTTATTGGAATAATAAAAATAATTCACAGAATTGTGTGTTACTCCCTAGTTGGGAGGCGGTTGTCCCTGATGGGGCTGGTTGTTCGGAGGAGGAGGGGGAGCAGCGAAAGGCGGAGGTGGCGGGTACATGTGAGGGTACATTGGTGGCATAGCGTAGGGCATGCCATAGCCATAATTTGGAACTGGGAAGGGCATTCCCGGTTGTTGTGGATGCATATTGAAATTGGCAGCAGCCTGATGATAATTCTGGTAGTAGTTGGAGTGCCAGCTTCCCGGATTATAGCTGGGATGGTAGTTATATTGCTGATCTCGGGGTTGATTCTGATTGTTCTGCGAAATGGTGGGTCTTTGACTCTGCCGGAAACTCTCTCGTTGACCACGACGTCCTCGCTGACGAGGAGTGGGGGCCACCGAAGAAGCCTCTGTGGCAGTTGTTGCCACCGACGTTACCGTGTCCACTGAGTCCGTAGAGTTGGTACGATCCCTTTGACGGCGTTTTCGCTGTTCTTGCTTCGCTTCTCTTTCCTCATCATCATCAGAGTAGTCTATGTAGCGCGGAGGTGGTTCCACATCGTGCTCCCATGAAGCATCCGAACCTCGTACTTGCATTAGCTTTGAGAGGATCACAAACTGGGTGTGTTCGGTTTTCGGAGCGCAATACACAACATCGCCAATTTGTATGCCTCTGTCTAGGATTTGTTGGTTACTGTTGAATCGAACGCAGTACAGTGGATCTGACACCTGGCCCAAAACATCGAATACTTGGCCCAGGACCTTGCGACCCTTATCCAAAAATAAAACAGTGTCCAGATCGAAAAGCATGGAATTCGGCAGTACGGAAACCAAAACGAGTTGGTCTACAATAGATTGAACCTTACCCAGTTCTACGCATTCATCCTCGGGTACAGTAATCTCTAGCTGATGAATGGGTGGCAACTCATCAAGGAGCATTTCTCCACGAACCTTTGGAGGTTGGCGACGGCGAGATCTATCCCCTGTGGCACCATCCTCATCTAAATCTTCGTCATCCTCATCGCATTCCACTGTGTTGATTCTTTTGTCTATCTTTTTGCGAAGTACGGCGAGATATTCTCCTTCGGAGTCGGAATCGGAGTCACTGCTGCTACTGCTTTCCGAGCTTTCGCCTCCTGAGCTAACAGTCACGACTGGACGATAAGCAGTGGAGGAGGCCGTGTCTGTAACTGGTACTTCCACGACTTCGTTGTCACTATCCTTAGCTGGGGTTACTTCCTCTACATCAGAATCATCAGCGTCGGAGCTGTAGGCAGCCAATAGACTAAGGCCACTTCGCTGATGACTTGGGTTCGGTTCTGGAGCGGGATGTAAGTGAGTATTTGAATCTTTGCGTGCTGTAATAGATGCTGCTTCGCCTGGAGCGACTGCCAGAACTTTCTCAGAATCTGTCGCTATGGTCTCCGCTACTGCAGAAACATCACAGTCCATTTTCAGTTCCTCAATGGGGCTTTCTTGAGAGAACGCAGCTGGGAATGTTGTACAGTCCATTCCTACAACCTGTTGCTCCATTGCAACGCATTCAACTGAATCCGGAACCTTTTCCTGTCCAGAAACTAGTACATTCACTTGGGTTGACTCATTTGTCGACTTATCCTTTACTTGTTGCTCCATTGTTTTTGGTTCTTCGACTGCATTTGAGGTTTCTGCATTTAGATTGTAAATATATGATTTCGTTTATCATGTAAAGCTCATAAGTTTACCTGTGGGCGTTGTTCGAACCTTATCTGTTGATAAGTCTGGTGCCACAGAGGTGTGTTTTTCGGTTTCAGTAGGTGTTTCGGCAGTTTGTGGGTCTACGATTGAAGCCAAAGGTTTCGCAGCCGTTGACTGCTCGTTTTCCATATTTTGTTTAGCTTTTATTGTCAAATTATTACGTTTTAAGCAATTGAAACCAAAAAGAACTAAACTGAAACGCACGTTGAATGCGCGCACGTGTTGTCTTCCACTGTTCAAAACACCATTCACATGAAACGAAATTATTCTACAATTCCTAGTGAATGGTTAATATTTACTATTCGCGGTTTGTGCATATTTAAAATGCAATTTAATGTTTACGTATTTTTTTTGTGTATTACATTTTTTTAAACCATCATCAAATTATAAACCAGTCAATAACTATGTAATTTTCTTAAAATTCCGTTTACTTTTATTCATTTGTTTCATAAAATCTTTTTTATGGTGAGATGGTATGCACATAATTTATATATTGCATTAATTGGAAAGCATTATTGTTAAGCTAATATGGACGCCAACTTATTCCGTAGTTATTCGAAGCTAATAATAAACATAATATTGCACATTTTGCATAAAAGCTTTAAACTTTGTACACTTTTTTTCCAGAATGCAATTGAAGCTGGGTTTTTTCGTAGTTCGTTGTGAGATTTTTCATGATTATAATCTAAAATGTACAGTAGGCTCTCGAAATATCGAAATGCGCACTTACAATAAGTCCTTACAAAATAGATTGTGATTCTTTCCATTTACCTTTTTAGACCTATTAGCATCTAGTAATTGAAATAATGTCTTCCGATAAAGTCATGGGTAAAAGCAAGGGTAAATGTCTTATCAAATGTCTGTTACAAAAATTACTTTGTGCTAAGGCAGAGTTAGTTGGAAGATGTTCAAGTGCGAACGAGTCTCACAAAGCTAATTCTAGGTAATATCAATAGCACTTAATTAATATCAATGTTTTCGCTCAATTGTTATATGGTAACCATGTGAGATATGTGAGAATGATAATGAAGTCCGAATAAAATCAGTTTTTCAAGCATGCAAATTAGATAAAAGTCAAGCAATTAAAGTAAGCATACTCCTACACCTTCCAGTCCAATCGAAATTCGTCGACTAGTAGCAAATGCTGATGGATAAGCCAACCTACAATTTGTGGAAAATATATTAAAGGTTTCTAGTATATTAAAAATAAACTTTTCCTTACCCTCTTGCTGCGCTAGCGCAAGAAATTCCTGCCACTTGGTTTGTATGTCCCAATACTTTTCCTTTATCTGGTTCCTATCTCGCAGATAAAACACAGCAAAGAAGTAGGCCTTAAGCACATCCTGCGGTCGCGTTTCAAAGTGCAGATAGACTCCTAGACATTTTTTTGTCTCTGCGATAATGAAGTGCTCATGGGGATCGAAGGAGGAAACTATGTTTTCAATTACGCTGCTGCTCTTATACTCATCAATTAAATTTTTTACGCTGAGACCCAGCTTTATGTTTAGAGACACGGAAACAGTCTTTCCTACTGTAACCCTTTCCATGGCGTTCACCTATAGATAATTTATTATATTGACATTAACAAAAGATGAAAAATTGGAAATAACATATGATTTAGTAACCTGCTGTGGATTGAGCATCCTAGATGATCTGAAGAACTCCTCAAGCGTAATTAAATATCGCGACTCGTTAAAACTCCGCAAGCAAACTGATCTAACCGCTTTGAGGTTGGCGTAGAGATGCAGGCTGACTACTATGTAGAAAATGGTGTACAGGACCGCCTGACTCTTGATGAGCGTGAGGAGATATAGTCCCACAAAGGAGGCCACCAAGTTCACGCATGTCTCCTGTGAACTATCCTTAGAGGCTACATCCGCCAGATTGCCTCGCAATGCATGGTGCTGGGTCAAAGCCGATCTTGTAGCACCTCCGGCCACGCCCACAATCGCTTTGAGAAGTGTGGAACAGCAAAGGATTTGTGTGCTGAAATGTGGATACTTGGGAAGCACGTAGATCTCAATTCCCATAGCCAGATCGTTGAGAAAATCTGCACGCAATCGCCATTTCTTTGAGTCCACATCCAATTGGGAGCCCTGCCACCAGGCGAACACTATACGACCGACATGTCCGCTGCCCTCCTTCATAATCCAGGTGACCGTGGCTGAATAAGCATTAATGTTCTCGCTGCCAACTCCGATTCCCTGCATGATTGCATGAGTGCACAAGGTGCTACAGATGGTGCTGCAAAAGGCCTGAGCCGTGTCCCAAATCTGATACGCCGCATAGTCCTCGCTTACACTATCCGGATAGCCCTTGGGCAGGAAGACCTTTTGCAGCACTCGGAAAAGCAGAAATTTCTCCTGTATGACAAGTTTATCGCCACGCAGCGGGACCCTTACGATGTTGCTCTGATCTGAAGTTAGGATTTTAGAGAGGACATTTAACTGATATCTAATCTAAATATATTTTTGTAATTTTAATATATATTTTTGTATTTAATAAATTTAAACCTATTTTGAATCTAGAGACATATAGGAAAGCTTTGTTGTTCTAAAAAAAAAACGAACTCAACGTGGCAGATTACCAAATGATTTGGTAATAGTAGATAAACTCTTATAAGAACAATCGGGTTAAGTCTATTTGAAAATATTTTGTTAATAACACTTTTAAAGGTTATTAGCATTAGCTTCAAAGTGTTTAGCTACCATAGGAATGAGGGTCTGCAAGGCTTGATTTGTTGGTTTGATCGATTTGCTCACCTGCTGGCGTCACATAGAGGATTTCCTCACCCTTCCTTCCGTATTGCTCCCGAAAATGGATTTTCATCTTTCCCGTGCGATTATCTTTTCGGTAGTGTGCCGTCTGGAAATTAATTTTTTTTTATTTGCTCGGGGCTGGCTGGCGTTTTCCCTCGAAGTTGTTTATTGGGGGCCTAAATAGCAAAACACCTCCCACCTGGAACAACCCACCGCTTTTTATTTATGTCCGACGTCGGGCTGTCTGTCTCACGCGAATAATTCAAGAAAATCCATTTAATTCTCGGCTACCGCAACTAAGCTCGAAGTAATCAATGAACGCGGTGTTGCAAAGCGAACTCTAGGAAATTTTACAAACAAGCTTAGGGCGCTGTTTCAATTAAATAAAAGCAACTAATTGTAGTTCAAAATAAATATACCCCAAAAAGAATTTCTCCCCACGCCAATGATTTTTCCGGATTCCCTCCCCCTTGTGTTATCAGTCAGCTGTGCGAAGAACGCGCTTCGCAGTGAATGCTGAAAGAGTGTTTTTATCGTTCTCTTAAACAGGTCACACAAAAAATTTAATATTTGAATCGGGCTTAGTTGTAAAATGGCAAACACATCAAATGTATTATTGCTTTTCACATTTGATATTTATTTAATAATTTAGTGATTTAAAAAACTGTGAATAGTTAAAATATCTTATCTCAAATATCTTATAGAAAACTATTATAAATGATACCTACCTGTGATTTTCTCACCCACACCCTTTCCGCTATCAATCAGCTGATCGCTGTGAACAGCGTTAGGTTAGCGGTATTCGGGTCACATTGCGCAAACGGTCTCACCAACGGAAAAGTTTATAAAAACAAATGTCCGAATAGGTTCGCCAGCAATAACAGCTCAGCAGTGAAAACAAAAAGCACTAAACAAACTAAAAACAGTCCAAGTGACAGCTATAAAGCCAAACAACAATCGGCCCTAGTGATACAACTAGTAGGGGCTAACGTGTGATACAATCGTCTAAATTTAAAGTGTGAAAAACCGAGCAAACTTTTGGCAGTCGAGTGGAAAACAAATTCCGTTGGTGTGTGCCGAGTGCTACACAAAAAACAAAGAAACACCAAAAACCACCAGAAATCAGGCGATGTCATTGGAGGATCTTAAGTCCAAGTTGCGCCGTCATTCGAAGTTAGTGGGCCTTGGAGGAGTGGGCCTCCTTACTGCGTAAGTAACTCGAAATCACGCGATATCAACACAAGAAAACCACAACAAACCCATAGCTAAACCAGCTACTACAAAAACAGAAAAATAGCAGCTCCAAATCGAATAATAACTGAAGAATTTTAAATCTTAATTTATATGAAAAATTTAAAGATTTTTTTATATATTAATATTTGTGTATATCATATAAAATTATTACTTTAAAAGTGGCAACCAATAAACCAAGACCGATTTTCTTCCTGCGCAGCGGTAAAGAGCACTTTAGGAAAACACTTTCCATTGAGAAACTTACACCTTTTACAGAGATTACTATGATTTAGGGGGCTCGTCCGTACACGTTTTCATTTTCTTGTCCCACTTTATATGGCGCCACATGGCCATGAATAAGTCGTACGATGTAGATATACTATATAAATAAATATATCGAGAAAAACAAAAACAACCACAGATCTTGTTTTCCGCATTCCCTGTACTAAACAGGCGATGTCGCATATGTGACGTCATTTGTTTACAACAAAATACGGGGTGATTAATCAGGCTGTAAGCTGAAAACTGGTCACAAAATTAAGGTGTGTAGTGGTGTGATTTTAGATGAAAAGTTGATAAAGCTAAACCTAAAATTTATTAAATGGATTAAAGGGTTGTTATGGATTTTAATTTGTTATAAATAAATAATAATTTGTATTTTTGACCTATTATACCTATACTTGTAAATTTAAAAAATCCCTTTTATTACTTGTTTTTTGTAAATATTTTGGGTTCGATGCAGATTCATAAGACAAGAAACATCTGTAATAATTAGATACTGTTTTCAGCATAAACTTATATCAAGCGAAAGATTTTTATTAGAGTATATCCATAGTCTTATAAAAATCCATGTTGCCTGACTCTTTTCTTAGCAAAACACGATCAAAACAAAACGTACGATTTTGTAAAAGTGAGATAGCAAGCTGATGAAGTTTTTTGTCTTGCCACATCTTCTTCTTATTCAGCGTGTGCGTGAACAGCTGTTCAAGGCCCCCACCAAAAAAAAGAAAAGCACTGTGAAAAAAATATTCCCAAAACTATTAAGGCGCCATTTTAGTGCGCAGTTTAAAATCATTTGTGAGAACCCCCCGGGAGTTATAGTTTGCCTTATCAAAAATGATAATATTCTTGTGCTTCTTGTTGTTTGTTTAGGAATTTTTCTATATGGCGCGTGTTTTCGACTTTGGGGGTAAAAGATAATAGGTGATAGTTGTTTTTGCAAACTATAGTGACGCGCCCACTTTCTAAAAATAAACAAACTAGTCTTCGGTTTTTTGTTGTTGTTTATCTCGTTTATCTCAATAACAAATAGTTGGCAGCAATAGGTGTTGTTGTTATTTAAGGTCAATTAGTCTTCAGCAGAAGAACAACAACATGAGAAATAAAACGGAAGTTAAGACTGATAAGATTGGAAAATGATTTAAATCGGAACATTCAAAAAGCAAAAAGGGTTTTGATCAAAACAAGTTGTTTAATTTAATAAACAATCAAAGTACTTTAAAATATATTGTACATAAGAAATGATTTTTAATATTCTCCATTTCAGTGCTGGTTTTCTGCTGTACGAATCACCACAGGTGCGCAGATTCCTTTCTCAATATGTCGACAAGAAATCCCCGGAGCTGGACAAACGGCGCGCCGAATACATATATATCAAGTATCACATTTACCGCGAGTCTATGCGCAAACTGAAGCAGAAGGAGGAGGACGAAAAGAAGTGGATAAGTGTGATCATCAATCCGATTGGAAAATGGTGGAAGGCAGCGAAGCACTCAGTTGCCTGGAGACTGCTTAATATTGCCCAAACTGGCAGTCAGCCGGAACGTCTTAAGGCAGTCCAGCAGCTTATCTGCATGGACCACCTTAAGGACTGGGATTTCCGACATCTGGCGCAGATCTGCGATGCCCGCACAGCAGTTTCGTTGGCACGATGCAATGCCGACACCCGCTGGTTCATGCCAGTCCACCGTCGCGGCTGCATTAAGAATCCCAAAATGCTTCTCTCTGAACTCCACGTTATGTTGGCCAGGCTGCGACCTATGCCTTGCGTAGACCATTTCTTCAGCAAATACTTTCCCGAGCAGGATCCCATTGTAAGCTGATTTCTTTAGCCACTTTGGTTCACAACTAAATCAATACCTTTTATTTGCAGGAGGACATTCACGAATATTTGACCCAGGAGCAGACCATTGTTCTTTCCACTGCTGACACGGATTTGTTGAAGGAAATTATCTCTTTCCTACATCACATTACCAAAGACCCCGAGGCCTCCGCCAGACTTATCCGAGATGGAGGCCTTGTACATCTCATGGAGCTCCGAAAGATATTCAGCGACGACAACGAGACCTTATCAACTCTCTGCAAGGTGCTGGCCAATATGTCTCTGGTGCCCGATGCTGTGGAACATTTCTTTTCTTCTGGTTGGGTAGGAGCCCTTGCCGAATGGCAACAGTGCCCCGATCTTCGTTTGCAGGTGATCTCTGCAAAGACTATGGCCAATCTGGATTACGATGATCCAAATCAGTGCACATATCCACCGAATGTCTATCCGCTGCATCCGCGAGTTCGCACTCGCAGGAAGCCAAAGGCAGATATCGTTTTTGTCCACGGTTTGCTGGGTGGAGTGTTCATCACCTGGCGACAGCGAGATAGGAAACCCACTGAGCTAGGTCTGTATGGAAAGAATGCATTCTATACCAGTGAAACGGATGATGTGTTTCTGGTGGGCGAACAAAAAAGAGTTAACGGCAGCAAACAAAAAAAGGAGCAGGGCAGGCCATTAGTTTCCACACAAGCCGCTGAAGCCAAAAATGGCAATGTAAACCAAAAGACGGAAGCAATTAAAGGTAAATATAAAAGTAAACTCTAGTTTGTTATAAACTAATCCTCCCCTTCCCAATTACAGATCCTGTCTTAAAGGCTAGTAAGAAAGTGGAAGAACAACGGTTGAGCATCAGCGATGCTGCTACCATGGAATTTGTGGAGACTCTGCGAAATGAAGCCGAGTTGGACTCAGACTGGGAGGTGGTCCATCCAGATGTTCCGCTAAATGCCAACGAAGAATGCGTCGGGAAATTCAGTGTTTGCGGAAGTGAGTGGCGCAACCAGGACACCTCTGAGGAGTACACTAATTGCTGGCCCATGGAATGGTTGCCAGATGATTATCCAGATTCCAGAATTCTTGGTATTGATTACACTTCAGCGGTCACAGAGTGGTCAGCGAATTTCACGAAATACTGCCCCTGTGAGAAGGGCCAGGGTCACATTGATGTAAGGGCCAGCACATTGCTTGACAGGATCTCAGCCTCGGATGTGGGCAATGATCGTCCGATTGTTTGGATAGGACATTCCATGGGCGGCCTGCTAACCAAGTTGATACTGCTTAAATCCCTGGATTCCCAGGAACCGAAAGTTCAACAGCTTGCCAAGAATACCAAGGGCATTGTATTTTTGGGAACCCCACACCGAGGTTCGCCTATTGCCAAGTGGAAGCAGCACATGCAGATGATACTCTCGCCTTCAATTGAAGTCAAGGAGATGGAGGAGAATTCGCCAAAACTGTTGGAGATGCATCGACGCTTTATGGGCTGCCTGCATACATTGCTGCGTCACGTGAAGGTCGTCAGCGTCGCTGAAGGTTCGCCAACCATGCTGACTTCCTTCAAGTTTCCTTTGCGCATTGTCACGGAGGAGTCCTCTAAGATAGATTTCGGGGACTTCTATCTTTTGAAGGATGACCACTTGAGTCTCTCCAAACCGATTTACAGGCAATCATTTCTATATCAGAGATTATTACATGTAATTCGCGAGGCTATCAAGGAGAAATCAGATCCTAAAGATCAGGATACTCAGTCCCAAGTCACTCCAACTCAAGATGCCGTACTTATGAATATCGTTGCTGTATTGCTGAAGGGAGCGAAGGGTCTGTTTGAATCACTGCCCAGAGTGGCCCTAAAATTTAGCACTTAGGTGTGGTTAAAAGCCCGCTACACGCCAGTACCTTAATAGTATCCCAATTAGTCTATTAAGACTTGTAAAGTATTTCTCCAAACGGAGCTGAGCTTTAAGTGGGGGTTTTTTGCTTTTCCACACAACCCATCACACTCATGACCACAGATCCTTGTAAATACTTTCGCACTCCATATAGTTTCTTACAACCAAATCCTAATTTATTTTTCTTGGTCTACGACTTAAGCCTTTAAATAAATATAATCGTTTTACACTATTAAGAATGTCTTTTTTGTTAATGAAATTTAAATTGAAACTGTAATAAAATTTCAACATATACTTCAGAATATATTTACTTTTAAAAACTATCCTTATAAAAATTAACATTCATAATTTAAATATTTATTCGCGGCCAGTTCACATTCCATTAACTTAAAGTCTCCTGTTGCTGCTTGGCTTTTAGTCGCTCCTGAGCCAATCTTCTGTTCTCGGCAATCCGGGCCATCTGTTCGTTGGACAATTTTTTGGCCGCCGGCGTTGGTGGCTGTGAATGAGGCAGCGGCTTGCCGTAGTCACTTGTGTCCAGCGAAGCCAAAGGAGCTCCATTCCTGTCAAAGGTAGGAGCCGCTGGAGCACCATTTCGGTCGAAGGTAGTAGCATTAACTGCGGTGTACGGAGTAGACATCACCGCATTGCCACGGGAAAATGAAGGAGTAGTCATTGTACTGTTGCTGGAGGCAGTGGACATTTTCCGTTGATGAGGGGTACGTGGCGCTAACCTGGATATGGCAATCTGTTCGCCCAGCAGGGCGTCAAACTCATCGAAAGGTTCATCGCCTGCTCCGCCTTGATGCTCATCTTGGGCCTCATCCAATGCTTCTGCCTCGTACGCACTCAACTCCTCGAGCTGACCGAGACGATATCGTGTCATGTGCACCTGAAGTGGTTTTTTCTTACCCAGTCGCTCTATATTATTGAGCACATCATCAAAGGTGTATGTGGGATACATCCGATGACCCCAGTGCTGCAGACGTCTCAGCACCTCGTCGAGATCGGTTTTTTCATAGCCCTTTCCCTTGAACTTGATGTCCTTAAAGTAGTTCTCGATGGTCTGGATACCACGGGGTCCTCGAAGAGTTTCGACCGTTAGCCGAGGCCGGGGATTCCTTACTGCTCTCTTTTTGGGCTCTACTTTTTGGGCATCTTGGTTACCAGGTTCTCCGGCATTTTCTTCATCTTCCGCAAACAGCTTTTCGCCTTCGTCATCGCTGGGCAATTGGTTTGGATCCTCATGCAGGTTATCATTAAACAGGTCATCTACACCATCGTCACCAAATAGGGACGCCATGAAGCAATGTATTAGGTTTCCAACTCAATCACAACAAAAAAAGTAACAAAATTTTGCCGCCATTTTCTTCTTCTTCCAGGTTTTTCATTCACTGGTGACGCTTGCATAATTTACAGAGCTGCCAACTGAAGTCCTCTTTGTTCTTATAGTTTTCCGATTATATAACATTTTGGACCTTTTTAAAGATTTTTTTATTTAGTTTGTAAAAATTTTTATGAGTTGATGGCTTATAAAGCGATTTGCACAGCCGACCGGCTTTTGCATTGGTGGCAATTCACAATAGAGGTGGGAACGTGACATGTTTTCCAGGCACGAGGCAGCAGTGGAAGAATCCAATATTAATTTCTTTAACGGAGTATATATTAAACGATTATTATTGCTTAGAGAGAAATACAGAAATATATGTAATATCTTAACTCTTGATCGTTAATAATGGTTAATAAACTTTTGTATATAAATTAGGTTTCAATATTAAAATATTTTTAAAGATATTATGTATAAGAGATAAAAGGAAGATATATTCAGTTGAAATATTCAGTTCACATTAAAAATACGATGATATATAATATTCTTTGTGTACTAGGTTGCCTCAAGCATATTTCCCCAGTAACGTAGTACATAGTTACATTCATACATATACAATACAATACATATGTGAGTAAGCTGTACAGTTTCGAGCCAAAACTTTTTGACGTCGTGACTTTCGTGCCCCGGATCAATTCACGATTCGGTCCCATCTCTATGCCATGGAGCAACCCTGCGTGCTGGATGGCCTGGCAACGCCAGCAAAACGCCATACTTCCAAGAGCATTTTTCGGGGCGAGTTTACATTTTGCGGATAATTGTGGAAAAAGCGGTAAAAGAACGTGCAAACACCAACTCAAAAATCGCTGCCTAAATGTTGTCACCACGAGTGATAAAGACGGCACGTTTAAAACGCTGAATCCATCAATTTGTGCCCAAAAAAAGAGCGGTTCTTTTGCGAGGGCGAGGAAAGAAAATTAAGTGTGGTGGGAATCGGTATCGGGATTCTACGCATTGTACGGCGTATCAGCTGAAGAAGACTGTGTGCATCTCAAGCAAAGCAAACAAAACCATAACAAAACAAAGCCGTTTGGAGAACTATGAAATCGTAGGACCGACGGCACGGAAACGAATTCGGCCATCATGGACATGCGATTCAAGTGGCCGCTTAAACAGCGAGCCAACTACTCGGAATCGCCCTATCACCACAATCCGTCGCGTGGCTACCAGCGACATCCTCATGTTTATCCCAATCAGCAGCCCCATCCGCATCCACATCCCAACAAGAGTTATGCGCGTCAACGTCACGGTTTTAGCCATTGCTACCGCAAGCCGTTGCCGCCGCCGCCACCTCAACCGGCTCAGGTTGAGCGGGGAGCCATGGCGCCTCCTTCGTCTGGCGGCTCAGTCAATGCTGGCGCCGACATGGTCACTCTCATCGTGGAAAACAACAATCTGAAGCGCATGATTGTCCTCCATTTAAAGTTGATGCAGGAGCAGACGGATAGTCTGGCGGCCAAAGACAAGGATCTAGACGACCAAAACGCCAAGATGGGCATAGTGCTGGCGCAGAATCAAGATCTTAAGCTGGCTGTCGCCAAGCTGGAGGCTGCTAACGAGGATCTGCGCAAGCAACTGAGAAAAAAGAACCAGCGCCGAAATGACGACGACGACGACGACGATGATCACTCACTGCCACCAGCTGCTCCGCAGCAGAAGCTGATCCGTTGTCATGCCGAGACGCAAACTGTAATCCAGGAACGGGAACAGTGCACTCAGACGATGGATATGCAGATGCTACAGGCGGAGGCTCAGCCCAGGATTCTCAGTATAGAAACAATACCAGCAGTGCCCCGCCATGATGGAACCGTAACGAATCAGCCAGCCAATAAGCGCTCAGAGAGCAAAGGCCGTGGCGAGTTCAACGGCAAAAAGGTGAGCACCTTTATCCTGCAGCGTATGAATCAGGACTCCAAGCATCACATCCAGGAGCAAACGGAACAAGTGGAAGAACTGGTACATGAGGAGCAGCTGCAGCAGGAGGAAAACGACCATCTCAGAGAGGAGCTCCAATTGCGGGAGGAAGAACATCTGCAATTGCACGAAGTGCAAACTGAAGAAGTCGTAGGTGGTGATATTTTCCACGATGCTTTGGAATCCATTGAAATGGAGGTGGTTTCTGAGGAGTTGGTGGATTTGGAGGAGCATGTACAGTCTGTAGATGCCAATGGCCATATGGAGGAGGAAGATGAGGAAGATCAGGAAAATACAGATGAGGAGGAAGAAAGTGATGATGACGATGAAGACGAAGAGGATGCTCAATCGGTGGACAGCAATATTGAAGTACATTTTCAAAATGATGATGATCTCTGGCAAAATCAGGTAAGTTTGATGAGATTCAACAATTAAAATCATGTCAAGCAATTCCATGTTTTTGTAGATACAGCCTATGGAATTGGACACGAGGGAAGAAAAGCCCTTGGCGCCTTCGGCCCACTCCACTCCCAATCATAGACGGAAATCTGTGACACAGGTTGAGGTTAAGAAGGAGGAGCATCAGGATCGTAAAGTTGAACAGCGGGACTCTAATGAAAAAGCCGTAATACAGCTGGATCAGGATCCACCTCTTGGTGATCAAATCGAGGTGGGGCCTGTCAAGATCGCTGCAGAAAAAATGAGACAAGAAAAAGATGAGATTGCTGGTCACGCATTAAAAACGCTGCTTTTCCTAAAGGAAGTAGCTCTTATGAAAAAGGAAAAGGATCAGGAAACAGTCGTGGAGGTGGCAGAAGTACCTAAGGAGAATCGAAAACAAAATGATGCAGTAGCCGATGATCACAATTCAATTAAGAATCAGAAGGATGTATCCAAGGCGGAACTTAAAGCAAAGGATCTACCCAAGGAGAGAACTGCGCAGAATCGGCGGGTGGATATTCGCATGAAACAAAAGGACGATATACGCAAGGAACAGATAGAAACTACCAAAAAGCAACCGGAGGATATGCCCAATAAATTGCCAAAAGCGGTATCACTCAAGGTAGCTGCTGTTCCGAGTCAATCCGCTAAGGAAACCACTATGCCCAAGGCCAACACAGCTGACATGAAAGTTTCTCCCGCTCAAAAAATTATAGCTAACCATCAATCCATTAAGACCCAAACGGATCCGGTAAAAAAGCAGCGATTGCAGGTTAAGATCAGGCACTATGAGATGTTCTCTGACATAAGGACCAGCACCTCAGCACCTTCCGATCAACTGAAACAATATGATCAAGACCCAGGATCCGAGACAAAGATCACGAAAAGTATGTTGATCAATGATAAAAAGATCACACCGGAAAACTCTCAGGACCAGGATCAAGATTTGGATCAGGTGGAAACAGTAAAACGAAAACTGGCGGAGCATTTAAAAAAGGAGTTGCTTAGCCAGAGTCACCAGTCGCAGGTTGCGCTTAAGAAAACTATCAAGGAAAGATCAGTCACAAATTTAATCTATCCACCACCCAGTGCACCAGTATCCTCTACCACAATAACACCAGCGCCCACGCCGTCGACGACTCCCACGCCTGGCTCTACACCACAGCCTGCGCTTACAACGCCAATAGAACAGGAAATGTCTGCGGCAAAGTCCAAATCCAAGGCAGCTGAACAAATAGTCACCCCACTGACGCCTCAATCCAATAGCAGCGTTAGCAGCAGCACTTCCACAACCAGAAAAACCCTAAACAATTGTTCACCCCAAACGTACAGCAAGGCAACCGCGAGATCGGGAAAATCAAAGTCCAGATTCCGTATCGCCACGTTTCCGTATAGTACGAGAACGTGGGAAGATCAGGAGTTCCACTGTGACAACGAATTCTTCCTGGAGGAGGCCAACGAGCTGCTGGCGGATAACCCCAGTTTGGAGATACCCAAGTGGCGGGATGTCCCAGTGCCGCCTAGTTCGGATAAAAGTAAAACAGAACCTTTAAGCGATGCTGTCTTCGAACGGCGTCATCAAAAGTATGTGAAGGATGAGATCGATCGAAAGTGCCGGGATGCACGATATATGAAAGAGCAAATACGGCTCGAAGGGCTTAGGATGCGCCGAAACCAAGACGAGGTGTTGGTTGCGCTAGATCCGTTGCCCACGTCCACCTTCTATCCGTTGCCTGAGGATATCGAGGGCATTCAATTCGTCAATGAGGTGACAGTTCAAGCGTTTGGTGAAAATATGGTCAACATGGAGGCCCGAGATGACTTCGGCGTCGCCTGGGTGGATGCTGTCGAAGCGTCTACATCTATAGCCAAGGCAAAGGCACTGGCTGAGCCGGTGGCAACGTTGGCTAGCAAAAAGCTGCCCACCACCACCGCCGAGGCAAGGTATCAAGAAAATCACTCCTCCTACGTTTTTCCAAAGCGACGCAAGCGCCAGAAGAATCGTTAGCCAGACCGCTCCTGGTGGAACAGCTATGGGAGCTGAGCTGGCGAGTTTCGATCGGACGGAAAGCGTTGCGTTTACCATGCTGATTATTTTCATTTTGTAATTTTTAATTATTTTTTAAGCGTAAAGTGAAAGCACCAGAGTTAACAACGATTCCCAGAGATCGTCAGATATCAAGTAATCCAGATCAGACGATGTTCTTTGTATATATGGTTCCTCAGCTGTCCGTTTTTATTTGTATAATAAATAAGCGGAAATATGACTTTTAAAAAATTTAAAGAAATTGTTGTTGTAGAATGTTTAAACTTAAAAATTTTCAATCGTCTGATATTGCATAAGAGATCATCAAAGACAAGGAAATTTAGCTGTCATATTGAATCATATCTATGAATAGTTATTAAATCTATTTAAAAAAATCTACTCAATATTAATGAACATTTTTCAAATTTCCCCTAATTCTATAGTCAGTCGCCTGGTCTGGAAATGGTTAATTTTAGTTAACGTCTTGCAATCCTTAGAAATTCTAAAGAGTTTCACTCTAGCTTGATTCTAATTTACGTAATTTACTTAGTCCCACATAACATGTAATCTAATTCAGTTGCTAAGTTATATCGGATAATACATCTCAGCTTTATCACCTTTAAGATCGCCCGTACTGAAGTGATAAAGAAACAAAAAAGATATAAAGTTCAATAGGCGATACAAAATGAAATTCGTAGACTTCTATTTTTAAATATTTTTTTCCTAGCTTGTATTAACTTTTTTTTCTTTATTTATACTATGTTATATCATGACGATGCTCTAGTTTAGACAACAAATGTATTGCGAAGAGTTACTCAGGTATATCTCTGATTATTTTTTTCCTTCTTTTTTCGAGGATTTGATTGTATGTAAAAATTGTGTGCGAGTTGTTGTCTGCTTAGAGTAATCGAAATTTAAATTTAACGTATTGTTTTATTTTATTAACTTCTTTAACTTGTTTTATGTTTTACGAAAAACAAAAACCGTTGATAAATACAACAATATTTGAAAAATAAATATAAACCTGATTCCCAAGCTGTAAACACGTTTAGCCCCACAAAGGCACCATGTATATTCGGGTAGAAATGTTTTTGTTTCGCACGCCTTCTGTTTGACTTTCTGTCGCAATGATTAAGGAGCCTGCCAACGTCCGGTGGAAATCAAATCCCCAGCTCGCCTTCAAGTGGCGCCATTATTTTTGTACATTTCTGTAGGTGTTAAGTCGGTTATTTGTAATATAACGTTAAGTAGACACGGGTACCCCAAACGCATATAGACAGATAATTATAATGTAACAAAAAAGATTATGGTACATTGTAAGTTGTCCAGGAGGAGAAGAAGAAGGAGGAGAGGAAGGTGGAACGTCGTTCAACACCCTTTTTACACCATTCAATGTAATTAGCGTTAATTAGTTCAATTTAATGAAGCTTCAACTGAAAATCAATTCGAAATTAATTGCCACCACTGTAGAGCCCAACACAAACACCTACTCTAAGAATAAATGTACTACATACAATGTATTTGTATTTGTTTAACAAGTTTTATTGTAAAGATAATGATAATAATATACCGGATAAAGCAACAAAATGCAATCAATACTTTGACTTGTAACTTATTTTACACAGGTGATATGTTAATGAAATCCTAATAATTGACATATGGTTTTAAGAAACCCTATTTATCTGACCTGATTCGGTTTTTTCAAGGATCTGATTTAAATATGGTCTCGTTTTTATAGCTGCCTTTATCAAAAAGTTTTGATTGGTTGAACTTTTATTGCACATATTTTATTCCATTCTAACTCGTTTTTGCTTAGCTATAACTTGTTTTTAATATTTATTAAATCTAAAAACAAAACCAAAGCAAATAATTTCTTTGATGACCAGAATGGTTTTGTAAAAACCTAAATAATTTAAAAAACCGAAAAAGGCAAAAGGATATTGCGTTTCTTTATTACTTATTGCTTTGCGTCAAGTACTGATGTCCGGTGGTCGCCCACAGCTCATCCACATTCTCCAAGCTCTCGCGCCAAAGCTTTTGAAGAAGTTTCCATCCCTGTTCCTGGGTCACCAGTAGGTAATCGTTTGTGGGATGCAGTGTGTGTGTGTAAAGACCCATTACCAAACTTTGAACCAATCGAGCAGCCACACAATATTTGAGGTGTGCGAGTTCAGAGTTCTCGATGGGATTCCCACTGGTGTAGCCAGCCAAAAAGATGCCTCCATTAGCCAGATCGTTGGCCTGGAGGATCATATAAGTTAGAGCGATTCCAATCTCGAATATCAACGGCGAATTGCTCGTATCTCCGAAGTCAATCACTCCCTTGATAGTGTATTCGGTTTGGTTGGGGACCTGCTCCACTACAATGTTCTGTTCGTTGAAATCCCCGTGGATGATCTGGTGCTCCAAGTTGGGCAATAAACTTAGTATCTTCACCTCGAAGGCATCGATAACCTCCTCACATATAAGTCGACGCTCCTGATCCTTTACGACATACAGAAATTGTCTAAGTTCCGGAACACTTTGCAGCATCCACAATGTCTTGTGGGTTTCGTATGCCTGGTGGGTAAAATTCTTCAAGGCTCTATCCAGCCTGGCCAAGTATTCTCCGCTACGATACAGCAGGTGCTTTGTAACTGGGACCTGGTGGAAAATTTCACCTGGTATAAATTCCAGTAGCCGCACCACATTTGAATTACCGTTGAGTCGTTCTACCGAGTAATATTTTCCAGTTGCATTGGCTATTGGCCTGGGGCACTTAACACTGTGTTTTGCTATTTAATTAAACTATTTATATGTATTCTAGTTTGGTTAAAAGACAATGATTACCCAAATAAAGCAGAAGTTGATTTTGCCCATCTACAAAGTCCTCTTTCTTGGAGTCCAATGAGTTAAGAATCTTTAGGACATAGCCATGTGGACAGTGGGTTACTATTAGAGGGTTCTTGACATTGCTGAAATAATAAAAAATATTTAATTTATTTTTATAGAAAATACTCTAAATCAATGAATTTGTTTATAGATATATGTTAAAAAGCTGTTATTAAAAAGCGTTTAAATATGGAATACTTTTAAATCTCTTTGTCAAGATTTCAGTGTTGGCAAAGGTTTAAGAAAATACTTCCGCGTGAATGGCAAATCGAAGATTTTTAGACGCGCACTTTGGCCACACATTCCATTAGCAATTTTTGGCGCTAAGATCCGTGATTTTACTGATTGTTTTGTGTTTATATATGTCCTTCATTGTTCACCCATATTATGGGCATTACCGGTTTAATACCATTTGTGGGCAAAGCCTCCTCACAATTGCAACTTAAAGATATTCGGGGCAGCACGGTGGCCGTGGACACATATTGCTGGTTGCACAAGGGAGTTTTCGGCTGTGCGGAGAAGTTGGCCCGAGGCGAGGATACGGATGTTTATATCCAATACTGTCTAAAGTATGTAAACATGCTACTCTCCTACGACATCAAGCCCATCCTGGTGTTCGATGGCCAGCACTTGCCGGCAAAGGCGTTGACCGAAAAACGGAGAAGGGAATCCAGGAAGCAAAGTAAGGAACGGGCTGCAGAATTACTGCGATTGGGACGCATCGAGGAGGCGCGATCCCACATGCGCCGCTGCGTAGACGTAACACACGACATGGCCCTTCGATTAATCCGGGAATGCCGCAGCCGGAATATAGACTGCATTGTTGCGCCATACGAAGCGGATGCCCAAATGGCTTGGCTTAATAAAACTGATGTGGCCCAATACATCATCACCGAGGACTCGGACTTGACGCTTTTTGGTGCCAAGAAAATCATCTTTAAACTGGACCTTAATGGAAGTGGTCTCTTAGTGGAGGCGGAAAAACTCCACCTGGCCATGGGCTGCACGGAGGAGAAATATCACTTTGAAAAGTTTCGACGTATGTGCATCCTATCCGGCTGTGATTACCTAGACTCACTGCCTGGCATAGGATTGGCGAAGGCCTGCAAGTTTATACTCAAAACGGAGCAGGAAGACATGCGAATAGCTTTAAAGAAGATTCCTAGTTACCTTAATATGCGCAATTTGGAGGTAAGTATCCAATTGTATCTTGAATGCAAAGTCTAATTTATATTTTTTTAGGTCGATGATGACTACATTGAGAACTTCCTGAAAGCGGAGGCCACCTTTAAGCACATGTTCATCTACAATCCACTAGAGCGTCGCATGCAGCGGCTGTGTCCGTTGGAGGATTATGAAACTGATGAGCGCTACTGCAGCAATGCTGGCACCTTGCTGGATGATAGCGATCAGGCGTTGCATTTAGCATTAGGAAATTTGAATCCTTTCTCGCTCAAGCGTCTGGACTCTTGGACGCCTGAGAAGGCATGGCCAACGCCAAAGAACATTAAACGAGCCAAACACAAGAGCATTTGGCAAACTAATTTCCAAAAAGATAATCTGCCGACTCCGAAAAAAGAAACCACGTGTGCTTTGTTCTTCAAAAAAGTGGATTTCGTAAGCAAAACTGTAGACGAGGAGATCAAGACTAACCAACGATTGGAACAGGCGAAGCAAACAGAAGCTCAGGTATTTACCATGTATAGTTTTAGAGCCAAGAGGAGTCGGAGTCCGAGCAGGGATGAACCTGAGGATCGAGAGCGAACACCACCACCGTCGCCGGTGCATAAGAGTCGCCATAATCCATTTGCCAAGGAACGGACAGCAGAAGAAGCTTTACAGCGATCCCCGGTGGTTTGCGAGAATGCATCATTGCTGCGCTTGCTCAGTCCCAAGAAGGCAAGTCCCTTGGGAGGAGCCGATGAAAAGAGGGTTGACTCTCTCAAAAGAACCATTTTCGCCAAAGAACAAGTCCAGGTAAGAAGTCGTTTTTTTGCTTCACAAGATGAACAGACAAGGCTCCAGCAAGAGCAGATAAAGCCTCAACAGAACGATAAGGACGAGCAAGGGCTGGACTCAAGCTCTAGCAATAAAAAATTAAGATTAGAAAGAAAAGATGTTTCAGATGAGAATCAAGAAAGACAACGTTCTAACACGCCTAGTTGTGATGGAGATACAGATATAGAAGCCACTGCCTCTGTGGACTCACAAGAAAATTCTGCCCCTTCGGCTTTTGACTCTCAGGAAGAGCCAACCATATCTCAACCACAAACACCTACTAAAGCCAGTACGAAGATACGGATTAAATCTTTAGATACGCTAGTTGGTAACTCGCTGGATTCCACCGATTCCGAAAGAAACAACAATGATGGCATCATCCTGCTATCCGACGACAGCTGCAGTTCAGAGCTAACAGCCTCATCCGTCTCATCCTCCACCTTACAACGCCAGAATTCTTTGCCAATCAGCAAACGAAGAATAGGACTTAGTAAACCGTCCACTGCCAAGAAGGGAACTCCCAAAAAGAAGACGAACAGCAAACTGGGCCCTGTAAGTCAAAATCAAACTAAGCTAAGCATGTTCGGCTTTCAGAAGAGACCTGTGCTCAAATAGATTTATATTTCTAGCCTGTAACTTTTTTGTTCTTTAGATTAATCTAATTTATTAAAGTGAAGACCTCAACTGACTACATCAGTGCTGAATGCTATGAATTCATCAAGATAACAATTGCGATGCTGGCAAGGTGACTGACGACTGCGTCACACTCAGCTGCCGCCACTAACAACTTTAATTAAACGGGTATAAATAGATGATACACCCCGCCGCATTTCTCCGGCGCATTATCATATATTTTCGTGCTCCATACTCGTACTTGGGACTGCAGTTAACATTGCGGTCAGATTAACAGCACAGCAAATAACTAAAGTATTCTGAAATAATTAGTTTCAAAATAATATATCTTAAATTAAATAATCCTAGTATTTGGATTTTCAAAAATTCCATACTTAATATTTGTTTTTTACGAAACTAACACTATTTAAAGGATCTACATAGAAGATTTTTAAAAAGTTGTTGTGCTGTTATTTTTACTGCAACTGTATGACTGTATACGTGGACACCAGATAAACCACCGGATGTGATGATCTGAATAAGGGTTTCAACGAGATTTTTCCTACATATTGCTTACCTATCTTCTTTGACGAAGAAGTTTCGATCATCGTAGGCGATAATTTCCTTAACCTCGCTTATCGTGATCCCATAGAGGCGCCGAAGCAGGCTCTCCACATCGTCTGGCTCCACTTTTGGACGCACATCCGATCCGGGCTTTAGCAGATCGTTATCCACAGTCTTATCCTCCTTATCGTTTCCATTTCCATTCGAGGACGTGGCACTGTTTTCCTTTTTCAGTTTTTCAGCTGCATCGTACGCATGATTTAAAGTGTACGATTTTTTGGACATGTTTGTCAGCTCCACATTGTTCCACTGCTCCATTTTTTGGGGGGCTCTGTCGGAGACGCAAAAGACCAAAAGCCAAAAACCCGTAAGTAAACAAATATCAATTAGAAGGCGAATAAGATCCGAAGTGGAAAATGTTTACGGTTGCGCGTTCTCCAGCGAAATGAATTGTGTTTCAGTTTGAGTCTCAATTGAAACAAGTTCGTCGACGTCTTCTTCCATATCTTATTCGCCATTCTGTGTGCGTTCAAGTACAGTAAAATACAGCTTATTTGAACTGTAATCTTAGTACAAAAAAAATCCATACAATTTATAGGTTTACAGAATGTAAATTTCATTCTAGAAAATTTTGATGGAAATAATCATGGAAGTAAATATATTAAATGTATAACTGTAAGATTCTGCAATGAATTTAGGAATATCAAGGATCATACAGACAAGTGGATAATTATTTAGCTAGGTTTTACTGTATCTGCGTAAGATTCTGTCTCGTGAGTTTTATATCGTGTGGGCGAATGTGTGAGCCTCTGTCGCCACTTGCAGCGTTAACTTTGTTATTTGCTTAATTTGTTAAAGCCAGGTCTGTTTGCATTTTGATTGTGACTTCTGTGGTGCACTGAACGGATTGTGTTTTCGACATTTTTCGGGTCTTATCTGGGTGACAGTGATTGCCCAACCGTGGAAAAGTAGACTGCTAGTCGTGATCGGTTTTGGTTAACGCTCCAGTTAAAACCACATCAATTATTAAGGCACATAAATCGAACAGATCGCTGGGATTATTTAGTAGTCATAGTATAAACTTAAAGTAAGACAGAAATTCGAAAAAATTCCAGGTCATAAATTCAACTAACAACCGAATGATTTGAAAAACAAACAAAAGATTATCAGAGATTAGTTAAAAAAAATATATATGGGGGGTGAAAGGCCATAACTGGAGAACCAAAATGAAAACAAAATTCTCAAATATTTCCAATCATGACCTTGGCTCAATTACAGTTTATTGCTCATACGCAACGATGTACGTAACTACGATTTTCTGGGCTCACACATACATGCAATCCGCAAGTCACACACACAAGCACAGTTCGGGGTAATTAAAAACCAAATATATTGTGGATGTGAGACTCACAAATATGCACAGCTGACTGCTAATCAAGCACATAAACAATACACATAGTATAATAAAACCGAGCTTATTTACCTGTGCACGGCAATGCACCTGCGTCTCTGGATCGGATAAATGTTCAACTAAACTAGGTAAACCAAAAATATGAGCTACGGCTAGAAATTGACCAGGCAGAAAGTCAGTTGGCTTAACACTGTTTTTCTGCGGCAACACCCTACCTGTAAAATTGTTTATGTAATCGTACAATCTAAAGTATTGACTTTGATAAAATTAAATGTGTAACACTTGAAAAACAATGAGTAAAAAATAATAAACGAACACATTCAAAAATTCAAAGCAATAAGCAAGCACGTTGCCATGGGGAATGGCAAAAGTTTCTTCTTCTTTTAACTTGGGTCCCAGCTGTTTCTTTATTTACATCGGACAACGCGTTTGGTAACATTGGATGGCGGTTGATTTAAAAATGTTTAATAAAGTGCAACTCCGAAAGTTTTTATTAAGAGGTTAAGACTATTCAGACTATTTAACTTATAACTTGATCACAGTTCAGGTCATTTCAAGAATGAAAAAGAAGTCTGAACGGATGTCTGAAAGAAAATATGAAAGGAAATTTGAATGAAAGTCGGAATCGTCACATTCTTAGGGTTATACTATAATGTTATTGATTTTTTTGTAGAACATTTAATTATACCCACTTTAGATGCCACAGCATGCAGGAGATTTTCTGTCTTTATGTATTATGTGACACTCTTAAAAACACAATTCAAATAAAAAACACAAAAAAAAAAGCTAAAAAACAGGCCAAAAAATAAAAATGGCTGCGAAACTTCATATTATATTAGATGAGAGCAAGGACAATCAAGAATGCTCATCCGACTCACTAGAAATAAAGTTTCCATTGCCAGAGCATGTTGATCCGTCGCAATGCCGTGATGAGTTCTTGAAGACTCTCATAGAGGAGCACGAAATCCGTATAAGTAAGATCCATAGATCAACAATTCGGAAGTCTTCGCTGTTAGTAAGACCTGTGGAGATCGAGTATCAGATTGATAAGGGGGCAGAGGCTATGGTCGTGCATCAGCTGGCCAAACAGCGCCAGAGGGGAACCTTAAGAAAGACACTGGAAGAGGTTATGGAAAGCATTAGGTTGCGGTCATACATGTTCACAGAACTGAATCTTGAATGCCAGAAGGCGGCCATTGAGTTCCTCTCGGTTCGCCTACTAAAGCAATTGCGCCTCTTTTCAGGTCCCTGGCCTGGAGACCTGCATGATATTCCTTACCACCTGTTCAGCTGGTCGTTGGATGATTTTTTGATGCGTCTAGATGTTAAGCAGCTCTACCTTGATGTCCTTAATAGGGAGCGAAATGTCGAAGATTTAGATTGCGTGAAGTTTTGCAAAGATTTGCACGAGATCGAACTTCTCATACACGAAATCCGAAACGATTTCCGCAACAATAAAGATATCTGCCAAAGTAGCATGCAAATGTTAAGGTAAGGACTTTTGAGTTTTTTTTGCACAAATAATATTTTGGAAAAATTACCCCACTTCTTCAGTTCAGTTAGAATATGTTGAAAAATGTCTTAACCTGAAGCATTCACTATTAATTATTTTAATGATTTAAAACATAGCCCCTATGTTCTTATTGCAGGAATGCCCAATACATCACAAATGCGCCATGGGTCAAAACCCTTGAAAAAAATATGCAAGATATCAAACACCAAACGGCTCAAGCGCTGTCTTTTAACCGAAGTAGTATATTTATGATGGAAGTTCGCCACACATCGGTTATGTGTGATTTTGACCATGACTCGTGTAAGTGAAGTTATTATAACTCCAAATCTTGTACATCTTAGAAAGGTTATTTTTCATCTTCAGTTTTGGATCCCATTGAGATGCGTTATCAAATAAATTGGTTGAGAAGTTGTACGGATCAGTGTCTGATGCGGATAAATGAACGGGAGAATTCAATGATGAATGAACTGAACGATATGGAGGAAGAAGCGTGGCAGGACGAATCGGTGCAGCACTCCTCAGAGCTCATGTATTCATTACAGTTGGGAGATCTTAGGGAACGAATTAAGGTTTGGCAGGAGCGACAGGAAGTCGATTTGGAGAACGTCGAGGTCATGTGCACAGTATCGAGATTTGCGGTGCAAAAGTTAAAAGACGATCTAAAGTTTTATACGGAACAGAAGGAAATGTATCTACGGCGAATAGACGAAGTAGAAGCTATAATAAACCAGGAAAGAATGATTCGTGAACAAAGGGTAAGTTTCGATATAGAGTCATTCCCATTTTGGAGTCTATGTTACAAATCCTTTAGGAAGCTGCCCTTAATGAGAAACGAATGTCAAATATCCTTGAAAGAGGTTCGGGAGTGAAATCGGGAAAAAAGACTAAAAATATGTCTGATAAGAACTCTAATAAAAAATCCGGGAAGAAACCTGCAAAGAAATCTGCAAGAAAATCTGAACGGAAATCTGAAAGGAAATCTACTAGAAAATCTGAAATCCTGAAATTCTAAAGTGCAATTAATTTAACTTGTATATGTTTGCAATTTGCATTAAATAAATTGATTTGATTAATTTAAATAATAATTGCGCCCAATATGTCATCTTATTTAAAAGCAAAAATTAATTTTAAGACTTATTTTTAAAAAATTGTGTGCATAAACGATCTGAGTTGCTTTTATTTAAAATGTGACACATTTACTAAAATCAAACAAATCAAAGACTTGTTAAATTGTTAAACAATAATCAAAACAAAAACCAAAAAAAAATTAAAAAATAAAAATATTTAAAAAAAATTATAATGGATGAGGATCAAGAAGCAAAATCCGATCCATTTGAGATAAAGTTTCCATTGCCGGAGCACGTCGATCCTTCCCTCTGCCGTGATGAGTTTCTCAAAAACATAAAGGAGGAACACGAACTCCGTGTAAGTATGATGCAGAGATTGACTGTTCGGAAGTCTTCGGCTTCTGCACATTTTGAGGAGACTGAGGTTGAGGAGATTGAAAAGGAGGCAGAGGCTATGGTGGTGCAGGAGCTGGCTAAACAGCGCACTAGAACAACGAGGAAGAAGACAATGGAGGAGGTCAAAGAAAGCATTAGGATGCGATCGAACATGATGGAAGAACTAAATCTCGAATGCCAAAAGGCGGCCATTGAGTTTCTATCTGTTCGCCTTCTTAAGCAATTGCGCCTCTTTTCGAGTCCCTGGCCGGGAAAGCTGGACGAGATTCCCTACAACCTGTTTAGCTGGTCGTTGGATCACTTCTTGGTACGCCTGAACAACAACCAGTTGTACTTAGACGTGATCAATCGAGAGCGGGACACGAAGGATCTCGACTGTCTAAAATTCCGTGCTGATCTGAACGAAATCGAACAAATTATATACGAAATCCGAGGTGACTTTAAAAATGATAAAAACCTTTGCGAAAACAGTATACAACTCTTACGGTAAGTGGTCTTATCCTGTATTTAAGTAAATGCTTACTTTAAACATCCCTTTCTTCATTAGTGATTGCAGGTACACTACGGAAGGTACATGGATTAAGGGCCTACAGGAAAATAATCGGGTTAAGGAAAAACTAATTCACAAAAGTATCATAGAAGATTCCAGCATTTGTATGTTATCTAAGCGTCAAACTAATATTATGGATCGTTTCGAAGACGTTAGCGGTGAGTTTGGAAAACATCACCTAGTCAATAAGAGTATAAATTAACACTATTAATTCTCCTCAGCTATCGATCCGATAGAAGTGCGTTACCAGATCAACTGGGTAAATAGCTGTATGGATCAGAAGTTAATGTTTCTGAATGAACGCGAAGAGATGTTGATGAAGGAGTTGCAGGATGAGGAAGATAAGCTGAGCCTGGATATGGTGGTGCAACGCAACTCGGAGATAGTATACGCCAATGAAGTGAACAAGCTTAGAGAAAGTGCTAAAGAGTGGCAAGAAAAGTTCGATAGAGATCTTGAAACCGCTGAGGTCATGTGCATGATAGCCAGCTTGGCCCTGCAGAAGGTCAAGGACGATCATAAGCTTCACTTGGAGCAAGAGCAAATGTACCGGCAAAGAATAGACGAGGTGAAACAGATCATGGCCGCGGAGGAGAAAATTCGTGAGACAAAAAAGGTTGGCCGTAGAAAGTTTAATATATATATATATTATAACAATCTGCTTATTTTTCTAGATAAAAACAACAACGGCAATAGATGTGGAAGCGGCTGTAAAAGCTATAGAGGCAGTGTATAAGCCGAAAGAACCCAAAAAAAAGTCAGCGAAATTCTAAAGCTCATCAATATTCGACAAAATTTATTTATGTTGGCAACCCAAACAAAATAATCAAAATCCCGTAATGCGTGAACTTAACCCTCAAAGGGTTGTTGCCTTCAAAGTCACTGTCAAAGGATCAGGCAATATAGCGGGAGGGAGGCTATTATTGGGTGGAAGTGGGCGCAAAGTTAAGGCAAACATTTACCATATTCATTATTTTTGGCGGAGACAAATGAAATTACAGGCAAACGATTCCGGAGGTGGTTTCCCCCTTATAGCGATTGCAGTTTAGAAAATCGAATTATATGCAATTCAGTCGCCGTAGTAACCCCCCGGGAACACCCGCTTCCAATAGAGGAACTTATATAGCCTCATGCATAGTTATTTTATGCGCCGTGGCAACGTGAAAGTTGCCGCATAACTTTGCCTATGCTTGTTGCCTGGATGGGTGTATTATTTACGCTTAGAAAATAGAGAGTAGAAATTTTTCAACGCCAGTCGGAGGCGGATCGTGTTTACCCAAATAAAATCCATTGGAATGCCAACAAATCCTCGTCCCACTACAAATGGCAATACTCCAGAGGATTGGCAAATATTTGAGGTTTTATTCGGTGCTGAAAATGAAACTAAAGTCAGTCCGGAAAGGATGACCACAATGTCACCTTTAAGGCAACCAATTGCATCTTACCAGGTAAGCAGTTTGTCTGTCGCTAAGGTATACCAATGTAAAATTAGTCTCGCCAAAATCGTGCGCCAAATTGCCATATAAATATGCAGATATCATATCAGGCTAGATTTATGAGAATTGGCAATTGAATAACGACTTTTGTTCGGTGCTTTTTATGTTTCAAATTTATGTGGTTGTTAGGGGAACTAATGATGTTTTTGTGGGGGGATTTGCATTAAACTCAAAGGGTCTAGGGGATACAGTGGTTTGAATTTGTTAGAAGAAACGTGAGGGGTTAATAAGCTGAGAAGATGTATTTGATGTAATGGGTAGTTTTACTAGATTGTCGGATCAAAAATAACATTCAATTAAAAGCTTAATAAACAAACTACGAATTAATGATCTATACGTTATTTTAGCACTCTACTATAATACACAAAAATTTAAATTAAAAAAAATGTATCCATATCAATTTCCGTAATGCCAAACTCAATTGGCTGCACAATTAACTTGGCCAAAAGCTTATCGAATGTTCAACACATTTTCCTTTCCCATTTGTCTTTCCTCGTACCCCATTCTAAAGTGCAGACAATTGGCCAAAACTTGCACACCTCATTTTCCGTTTCCGGCCAGGTTAAAAATTTCCACCGTGTATCCACCTAGAACCGCCCAGAACCCCATTCCGGTGGCATCCGCATTTGCGTGCGTGAGTCCGATGTGGATATTGCATTTGATACTTCCCCACTTGGCGCCATGTGAATGACCCAAATAATCCAAACAAACTGCAAAGTTTTCCCAATGTGTAAACGTGGCTAAAATGGTGTAACTCTACCCGACTCCTACTCCAAGTCCCCTTGCTCCTGCCCCTGCCATTGAGCTCGTTTTCACTTGGAGCATAAATTTGAGCATTGTGTGATGTTATGTTGAGGTAAATTCCTCGGTGCCATGCATCGGACTCCCCTTAGTTGTTAGGCGGAGGTTGTTAGGTTTCCCGAAAGGAGTTTTTCCCGAACCAAAGCTCAGTTGTGACACGACTTTGACTTGGAACGGTTGGCTTGGTTCTTGGAGTGGTTGCAATAAATATAATTCGTGGCCTAAACAATGCCCAGTGAAAATCATCTGCATCATCATCACTTGGGACATAGTGGTGGTCTGTCTCCGCATCATCATCATTTGGTGGGGATCAGAAATCAATTTATACTATATAAAGTTAAATCATAAATTAAGTGAAATAAAAAAAAACTTCTGAGATAAACACTCAATGAATAGCCTATACTTCTTTTTCCAGCTGGATACATCTTGCGGAAATGCGGGAATTACCGTCACTGAACATCATCATGGACTGGACTTGACCACCACCCTTCGCAGTGAATTGGCTGCATTGTCCTACAAAAAAGAGCGACTTACAGGGGAGGTACAAGATATAAAGATCTGTCTAAAAAAATGATATAATCGATTTTACCTTTCGACGTAATTATAGCTCGCTGAAACCCGTACCGCTTTATGCAGCAAGGAGGCGGATATCGAAAATCTGAGAGCCCAGGCTGCTCGTCAGACTACTCTTATCGGATCCCTCCAAAGTCGCCTGCAAAATGCTGAGAGCAGGGAGCAGTCCGTTCAGGCCAGATGTGATTCCACCATTCAGACGGTTCAACGGGAGAAGAGAAGTTCTGACGAGCGGAACAAGGAACTTATTTGCAAGATACAACATTTGGAAACTCATGTGGCTAGCGAGGAGTCGCAAAAGGAACAGGCCAAGGCTCAACTCCATGATCTCTTGCGACGTCTCAGTATCGGACTGGGAATGGATGTTTGCGATGGCAATCAGAATTCCCATGCTACACCCGAATGCATAATTTCCCGGGCCGAGGAGGTGATGGTAGAACTACAAAGGACCAAAGCCAAAGTCAGTTCCACCTGCGACACCCTGAGCTCCTGTGAAAATGAGTTGCTAAATATGAAATCACTAGCTAATATCGAGAAGCAGCGTCTTACTGCCCAACTCGATGGAGCTGGAAATCATAATCACGAACTTGAAGGGCGATGTCGGCAGTATGAAAGGGATCTTCAAATCCAAAGGGATAGACTTACCGAATCCGAAATTAACGGAGAGAAACTTAAAGAAGAGCTGCGTGGCTTTGAGTCTCGTTGTCATCGCTTGCAGAACAATCTAGACCGGATTCAGGGTGATCGTCTGCAGTTTTTAAGGGGACTAAGTAATCTATTAAATGTCCCAGAACCCTGCGAGACGCTTATTAAGGACAAGCTGAGGGAGACTCTAGCGGAGAATCAGGCCATGCATGCGGTAACAGAAATAAATTATATTTAAAAAATCTCATTTTATATACATTTTTACCCCACAGCAAATGCATTCTCTGCGAGATCAGTTGAGCTCGGAGCATGAAAAACTAAAGGAGACCCAACAGACCACCGAATGTCGCCTGCGTTCCGGAGAGGCGCAGAAATGTGAACTAACTGAGCGTTTAGAGAAGTGTCATGCAGAGATCCATACCCTACGCAAGGATCACATGGGATTGTCGGAATTTTTACAGCGCCTGGCCAATGCGATGAACTGGAGTGAGTGCTCTGCACCTCCTGCCCTTGGTACCGATACCAATCTGATGGCAGAGAATTTGTTGGAAAGAGCCGAGAGACTCACCGCTCATTGCGAGCACGAGGTGTCCCATCATCATCATCATCACAGCCCGGAAAAAGGATGCTGCGATCACGGGCATGGTCATGGCAAACTTCGCAGAGAGAGATCCTGTCATGACATTCCCTTGAAGGAAAGTAGCAGTGTGTACAACCTACAGAGAAGAGTTCGTGTACTCAGAGAGCAAGTACAGCGCAGAGATCTCCATTTGGAACTACTGCGTCGAAAATTGGCCATTATAGAAGATGGAGCGAGGGGAAAGTGCATGTTGCAGGGCGAACGAGATGAGGCTGTTTGTCGTGCCAAAAAGGCAGCCAAGCAGGTAGACAAGTTAAGTGCCCAGCTGGCCGATGCTCGATCTCAGATAGCAGAGGTCAAAGCTCAGCTAGCCGAGGCCGTGGAATATAAGATCACCTCTCTGGAACGGGCCAGAAAGATTGATGAGTTGACTACTCAGATATGTGATCTAGAAGACGAAAAGACCCGGCTACTCTCCCAACTTAATGCCCTAAAGGAGCGCCTAAAATCTTCCTGTGAGTCCAATCAGAATCGAAGGTGTCGCGATGAGGCGCTTATTAACGTAAGTATAAATATAAAGATTACAAATTATTTAAATCTAAATGCCTTGTTAATTTCAGTCCATGCGCGATGATGTGAATCGTTTGAGTTCACAGCTGTCAGATGCCAATCAGCGCCTATCCCATTTGCAATCTTTCCGTACGTCGGTTGCCAGGACATTGCACCTTAGAGATCTTCCGGAGACTGATTTACTGCATCGACTTCAGGCTTTGTGCTCCGCCCATCAGGAGTTTACAATGCTCTCGAAACGCTATGAGACAGCTTCACCAGTTGGAGATCACCCATGCCCTCGTTATGACGATCCCATACCACCATCTGCCCACTGTCGGCCACCAAGGGAGCTTAGTCCTCCGCCAACTTCCTTCCATCATAAGACAACACTCCATTCTGGTAGCAGCCATCACCCACCTTCTGACCATCATCATAGCTCCAACAGTCACGTCCATAATCATCACGGACATGGTCATGGTCATGGATCCCATTCAAGACGTCAACGCAGTAAAAGTCGAGACAAACGTCTCCACGACGAGTGCTTTGACACGGATGTTCATCGATTGCATCACGGTTGCAAGGAGGAGCTGCTGGCCACTGGATCCGAGGATGACTACGACATTAAGAGCAAATATTGTTAGATTATCAAACCTTTTCTATAAATTTATATTTTCCGGGTAACTACAAATAAATACAGTTTCCACATTTGAGAAACAAATTTTCTTTAAATTTTAGAAAATTGAAATTGATAGAAATATAAAAATATTTGAAGTTCAGCTTGGTTATAAAATATCTCTATCATTTTTGTAAGCATTTCAAATCAAATTTTTCTCATAATTTGGACATGTTTTGGCTATCCAACTGCCGTGTTATTTAGTTTCAGGGGGTGGATAGGGATAAGATGGAAAAGATTCCTTTTCATCACAGTCCTTACTAGTGGCACACGTCCAACAGCATTCCGGAAACGGGAGCAAGGTGTCCATAGCTGCGTCGTCCTGGCACCCACTGCTTGGCAATGTGCGGGGACAACTAGAAAATAGGTAATAAATCAGATCCGCTGGGAAGTACAATTTTTATTAGGTAACTCTTACTAGTACACGTAAGTCAGTCCCTCGGCGTTCATGCAAACTGATACTCCACAGGTGTTTGGATCATTCACCTCCTCGCCAGGGTCTAAGGCAAAAATATCATATATCTTCTTTTTCCCCACTCGGACATGGACGGGGTAACACTGACCAGGGTATCCTTAAATATGCCTTTTTTTAATCTGCGTTTTTATACATTTCTTAAGTTTTACTATCATCATGCAGCATTTTTACAAAGATCATGGACTCCACATTAAACTCTAAAATTAAAGAGACGGCACAAAATATTATAAACTTCATTGCAGCGCATTTGAAGGCAAACTGATGGAAGTTCCATTGGAAAATATCATAAATAAAACAGCATTTGAAATTGATATCAATAAGAATAAATAACGTTTACCATTTCAGTTTACCGTAAACTATTTTTTTTAGCTATTTTTGTGTAAAACAGTGCCAGCACTATCTACATGTGTGTAATTGAAGTTTCCGAAATAAGCCGTAAGAGCGCTGCTAACGAATAGTTCGAGGAATGACCGTTAAATAATGAAGATTTTTGTGGCGTGACATTTAATTTGAAATTTACATTTTTGTACATCTTAATTAAGACGATTTTGGTCATTTTAAGTATTATAAAAAGTGTCCACTCATTAAAAACAACGACTTTGTTGCCCGAAAACACATTTGGACGGTCGCTCACCTGCTGGTCACATATAACCCGTCCATTGTAGACGGTTGCCTTGGTTGATTGACTCCCCTGGCCATTATTTGCAGTGCCACCAGTTCCACCACCCCGGACCATCAACTATGGAATTATGCAAATAGGAAAAGTGTCAAACTCATTGTACCGCAGGCCTGTCGCATCATGGATGCCTGTCAAATAAATCAAAATTGACTACGTTCAACCTGTTTTTGCAACCAAGTTCAGGCCCAGAGCAAACGGTGGCGCCTGGAAATGTGCAATTAATCAAAAGTTCAGTAAACGCTTTTAATACGAATCCATGGCAATCCCACTGAAGAGTCAACGCCAATCAAGATGCATATTTTTGCATGTTCGAAATTACACAACACGTGAGTTGTAAGTAGTGCCCCATCATTTGCCGCACAGACTCACCACAGACGACACCCAGAGCAATGAACTTGGACCGTCGAGATCGCCTCGCTTGACTTCTCCTGGTTTTTTCGTAGACATGAGGGAATAATCTCGACTGCACTTAGAACATAAACATTGAGGAAAACTACCCTATATTTTTTTTGTAAACAAAATTATTGAGTAAAGATGAATTTTAATAAGTTCTGGTTTTTTGCCCCCAAATATTAATAATAATAATAATAACTAATCGCCACTATTATTCATAAGCGCTTATTAATTCTTCAAAAATGTATTAATTTAATAATCGCCTTTGTTACTCATAAATATCAAAGTTCTTAAAATAAAATAAAAAAAATATAAGCTTAAGTTTTAATGACAGACTTGATGGCTTTCATCTTTTTTTCAAAGTGGAATTAGTTAATAAAGAAGTATTATATTTATTCTAGACGTAAGGACTAATTTTTCTGTCTGTAAAGAAGGCAAACATAACCAGAAAACATGTTTGCGAGGGGGGTTGAGCGGGTGGTGCCGATTGCCACATATGTGCCTGTAGCCTCTGCCTCTTATTTTCTGGCTGATCTTGCCACATGAGCCGGGAGTATAAGTTGCTAACAGCGGGGAGCGCATTTCGTTTCGTTTTGCAATTGAGTTCCTTCTTCACCAACAGGTTTAACTCTTTGATCTGCTTCCTCTTCTGCCCGTCTCCATATCTCTTGGCGACTTTTGATCTTTTAGCTTCGAGAAGGTGGCGGCGAAGTTGGAGCAGGAGGAGTTGCACAGTGCAGGAGATGCGGCCATTAGAGTCGCAGTCATTCAGGTGTGGTATAAGCCGCAAGAGAAGCCAGACATTAAATGGGGTACAAGAAGACGGAGACTAGCCCATAATTAATATCGTTGAGAATTTGATTTAACACTCTACGTTCTTAACAAATTGACCGTGTGTCAGGGAGTTAATAGTGTTATTGGAAGAGGTATTCAATGGAATATACTAATCAACTTTCTACTATGTTGTGTATGTCCAATATTTAATATTTTAGTTTAAAACATACATTCATAAATATTTACAGAAATTGATCAAAATCGGTTAGCACTTAAAAATCTCCTCTCAAAGTTTAAACCCACCAATTAACGGACCCTTCAACTTTTCATCCGACTAATCCACTTCAGTTATTTCGGAAAATTGCAAATCCAATTCAGCTAAATCAACAGCAAATAAAAGTACTGAAATATTGATGAAAAACGTGGATTAAAATTGTATGCAATTCAAATTAAATTGGCACTTTGTACGTGAACAATTTTTTCATCTCTATGTCACGGAGCTCAAATTCAAAAAGGGTCAAATAGTGGTTGGGGTCTTTTTAGCCCACAGGAAAATCCCATTTGAAATTCGTTGCTAGCCAAAAACTAGGACACAAAACTATGGAAATGCGGACAAGTTTAAGTCCGCAAAGCCAAATGCGATGCGTGTAGTGCAGGGTCCAAAATAAATATATACTCGGTACAAAGGTTGAATGGGTGGAATAAAGGCGGGCGGGAAGGTCACAAGTGCCTTTGGTGTCACATCAAATTGTTTACAAATACAGAACACGCGTTGAAAAGCTGCCATAAAGAATGGCAGCGAGGAAAGTGAAGAAATGGATCTAAAAACCTCTGGCAACGCCTTACCTTGAAGCCAGGCATCTCCTTTTCTTTTGGGATTTAATGGTTTTTTTCTGAGCACAAAAGAGTCAGTAGCAACATCATCAGCATCATCATCATCATCATCATCTGGTGGGTGCCTGACTGGCATCTGAGATGATTTTAATGCTGTTGATTGTAGGTTTCCATTGACATTTTTTTCCAACTTACCATCAACCGGCTTGTAGTTTGTCGAGATTTGTTAAAGCCACAAGCTTCCGCTTATTGTTTGTTGGTAACAATTAAGCGGCACTTTTGCTAAAGTCAACTAAAATAATCAAAATGTTTGCGGCTCACCCATGCACCCACAATCAAATAGAAATACGAGCTTTTACACTTACAAAAATGAAATGTTTAAAAAGTCTAACCAAATTTCAAACTTAACATACAAATGGCTTTAATGGTTTAAGATTTCATTACAATACTTTTGTTAGTAGCAACTTAAAGATAAATAATTAAAACAATACATAGAACATTGTATCAAATATTTATTTCTTCCTCTGCATTTTTGTGTGGGGGTAATCTCCATTTCGAAACCGAAAGCAAATGCAATTTTTGAATTTTTCCACAGAGTTGTGAGTTGAGTTAGGAATGGCTTTGTCCATGAATTTGCATGTTTTGGCAGGGATCAGTTCTCGGTATATGGGGGAATGGCAGCTACGGAATCATGGGGATTGCTTTGCCATTAGTCCGGTTGCTCCGATTGCGGACAATGGCAATACAAGTCTTTGGCCCCATCAAAAATGCAACCAGTGAATTGGCTATTACACACACATCGACCAATACAAATTCGAATGCCAAACTAAATTTTTGCCGGCTTTGCATGTTTTTGATTAAAACGCTTTGGTTTGTATTTTTGAATGGATTTTGGAGGATTCGGATAGGTTCCGAGGGCATGATTGGGATAAACACAGAGTGGGAAGAATACTCTTGAATGACAAGCCAAATCGATTTAATTTTAGAGCCTCAAGATATTTACTGATTTGTGAGTTTTGGTTTCTGAAAATGAGTTATTTAAATGCAAGCACGTACTTTGTACTTACCAAAATCAAAATCTTGCCTCTCATATTGTATTATATTTTTCCTTGGAAATTTGACCCATAAAGACAGTTGATTTAGCGACTTGGCTCCCACTTCATCCACACCCACTTATTTATTGTTTAACCCATTTCCCCGCTTTTGTTGCAATTCCCTTGCATTGTTCGCACTTAATCAAGGTCGGCAGTTAATTAGACTTTCTGCTGTGGGAATCCCAGTGTCGCCTGGCAGCGAAACAATTGCGTTTCCATTGCATCAGCAAGATGGATGCCCAGCTATTTGAGCCACTTGGGAGTCAGAGCTGTTGGCCAAGTCGGCATAACTGAACACATTATTCAACGCGGCAAACAAAAATTGTAGCTATTTTAATTGTCCAACATGAAATAATAAATGCTCACCATAATGGCATTAATAATGGCGATGCACACATAAAACAATAAAACGAAAAAGCGACCATAAAATGCAAGCCAGGCCGCAGAAAGAGATTGTCTCTTGACTGCCACTCAATGTGTCTTAATTAGCATAAATATGCAGCGTGGTTGTGCAATTGGCCAAAAGCGGAGCTGAAGTGGCAAGTTGAGAGCCACCCGAGTGCACCGCAACATCATTTATGGCTGCCATCGGTCAATCAGAATCAGAATCAGCTCCCGTTTCGGTCCAGCTCCCTGACATCCAGAATCCATATATGCATATTCGTATATATATATCTATATATCCCCTGGACGCATTATTATGCGGGCTCACTTTGCCAGTAGTAATGGCTTTAATTGTTATTGTAATTGGCAGTGCAGTCAGTCAATGGTAAGTAATTGAGTCATGGGGGTAAATGATTGAAGTTTGATATGCTAGATTATGTCATTGAATTTTGAGGGGTTACGAAAGAGCTTGTGGAAATTGATCTCATTTAATGGCGGTTGTATAAGCACCAAGACTTATTTATAATAAAATGTTTAACGTGTTGCTTGTTATCGAAATGAAACTAGGATATCGTTTAAAAACACTCATCGAAACTTAATTGATCTGTTAATCTGCTCTTTGCATATCCAACCTTAATACATTTTAGTTTTGTAATTAAATTAATTCAACGTCCGCACACAAACAGACACCGACCCCAATCTGATTATTTATATAATTATTTTAAAGTGAAACCTAATTAAGCGATTTGGATTACGTTTAATACCTATCAATAAACAATTAATTCGACATTTTATTTTTGTTTTTTTCTGTCAGCTTTATTTGATTCTCGCGATTGTTTTGCACAGGCAAAATATGAAGTTCAGAGATATACAGACAAGTGGCTATGATGTAATGCTTAGAGCTACATATAATATATAGATAGGTTTAATATAGCATATATATTCATGTATATAATATGATACATAGATTTCAAAAACAGTTTTTGTTTCGTCTTGTCTGGGCTTAGTCATTAATCCGATTAGAAAACAAGCTTTATAGGTATCAAAAATTATTCGCAGAGCCTGCAAATGTGGACATACAGATTACTCGATAGATATCAGGACTATATGGTACGAATATATAATTATGCATTACGGGTATATGTTTCTATGCGTGATATTAGAAAAGGTTTTACAAAAAACTCGCTTATTGACAAGCGTTAATCGTTAAATATGTTATTAGAGCTTGAGAAAATGTCTCATTTTATTTACTATTTTTTCTGTTTCTTTAAAAAATGTTATTTATCAAATTTTTTCTTTTAGTTACCTCTTCTAAATTAAAGACGCCTAAATCGTATCACAGATAAATGTGTTGGCCGAGTTCGGTACTCGGATCACACATTGGCATAACTTAGGGCTATAACAAATGTATCTATAACTAGGCGTACTAACTAAGGGGTTTTTTTTGCTGGATGTTTTTGTTGTGGGGTTTTTAGATTTGAGGCAGGCTCAGTTCTGCCACCAAAGGGCGCTCGTGTTCCAGATCCACGCGCCCGACCCTACTCAACGATGCTGCTGGGGATTCGGGGGACCGAAGGCCTGCATGCTGTAGTATCGCTCACTGTCCTCCTTCACCACACTGGTCACATGATGGAACTGGCACGGATGGGAAATCTGTGACTTCGGTGGCAACGGAGCCGGCTTAACGCGCTTCTGTTTCTTCTGCTTTCGGGTTCCGGGAACGGTCAGTGCCTCATTCTCCGGATTGCTAACCAAACGCTCCACATGCTGCCACAATTCACGGGCTGCATCTGTGGAATCGAAGCTGAAGCCAATCATCTGCTGATGATTGCTCGACCGGCACATGGTGTGAAACGATGGACCCGCAATCCGATAGTTCGATAGGTTATCAATCCGATCTGACCATAGGGCAAAGCAGGAACCCCTCTCCGCCAGTACCAGAGTAACTCTGGGTATAGCTCTGGCCTTCGAGTTGCCCTTATCGTGGAGTATCACTGGTATGCCAGTGAATACCAAACGCCAATCTCCATCGTTTCCGGTTCCCTCATAGAGATTAGCCAAGGCCCCACTGACAAAAATCTCCGTGCCCAATCCTCCAAAGAAGCTCTCCACCTGACTGCGCTCGTAGTCCGAAAGATTTGTGTTGCTTGTGGTGTCTGTGCTGATAGTGTCCGCATCGATATCCGAGGCATTGTATAGCGATGTGGTTCCATGGGCACTGCTCCTCTGTGCTGACGAATGGGAATGGGCTGACCAATCTGGGTGTAGGATCAACTCATCACGTGGTTCCGAAGAGGAGCCTGTGCCCTCACTGGATTCCGATGGTGGCGCCGAATCGCTAACGGAGCCCAAACGGCGACGTGTCTGCTGCATTTGATGCGACATCTGAAAAAAAGAGAAGAGCAGAGGGAGAGTGCTAAATTAGATTTCTGTGGCAAAAGCTTTTCGGCTGCGGTTTCGCTTCAAGTGGAGTTAATGCAATTCTCTTTTTCCATTTTCCGGCACCTCAAAAACGTTGGCAACCGAAAATAAAAACAACTGGCCTTTAAGTAAAACATACGACTATCAGATACCTGGTAATTGATTAAGTAGTTATCAATGTTTTTCTATAGGCTGAATAATTCGATAATCCTAAACCATATTTACTCATTGAATATTAAACAAACACAAGCTCTAAGCCCATAATATGAATATCCAAATGAAAACACAACTACAATATACCCTTGAACATCATAGATACCGAGGTATAGAATTTCCCAGTCCGAACACGAGTTTCAGTTTCGGATTCCCTTGCTCTCTAATTTGTTATTTACTTTGTTGCCCTGCTGCAATTGCTGCCAAGTAAAAACAGCCAAAAAAGTAAAATATATATATACATTTCCATTGTGGTCGCTCTGCTGGAAATTAAAAACAATCAATTTCCGCTCCAGAAACTCAAATCGTAAACAAACAATATAATTCGCATATTTATGCTCAATGAACAATTTGCCAAAATTTATTTACTAAGCAAATTCGAAAATGATTAAATACAAATTGACAATGTGAGTAATTGCTCGTTCAATTTTAATCGGTTGAAGTTAAGTGAATATTTATTGTTGAAAAATGTTAGGATGACTTCATTTCGGTTTTTGGATATTAATTACTCATGATTTTTGTGTGTTTGACAAGCTTTTACTAGTATTTTTTGCCACATTTCTAATAAATTTATTTGATATTTTTGAGAGCTTACATTTTCCGCTAGTTTTCTACATTGACAGGCTAATTTAAATTGTAAACAAACTGAACTGAATGAAAAATCTCAAAAACCAATTAGGATTCCTGCACAGTATGAGATATTTGCATGGCCTCGTGAAAAAATCTACATATCAAAGAGCTCACGTCCTATGCAAATACCTTTAAAAAGTTGTAACCAAAAACTACGTGTACTTACAGGCAAACAAATTCAGAGGCAAAGCGCATAACTAATGAATATGTAGTGTTCAAATTTCGTTAGCTTCTCTAACTCAAATACCAGAAAAGTTAGCCAAGGCACGTGGACATTGGCACGTTTTAATTAGCGCCGCAAATTGCAGGTCACGGCGTAATTAAATTATTTAAATTGCTAATTTTCCAAAAGAAGAGAAAAAAAACAGAGATGATGGCAGTGAAAACTGTACAGCAAGTGCTAAAAAGGCAAAGTGCTAAACACTTGAACGTGTTTTAAAGTTGTTGTCACTGCGACAACGACGGCGACTCCAATAAATAATAATCAACAAAAATTTGAGCAGGGCGAAGTCCTCTAACATCTGAGCAAGGGGAATAGGAAATTTGTTCAGGACACGCAGGAAGTTGCTGTGGCAATGTATCGCGCATCCTGAACTTAGCTTCTTTGGCACACTTTCAGGCCAACTTCTGCCATAGAGCCAAAAACTTTCCACAGGCAACTTTATTTGTTTGGCGTTGTCCAGGAACTGTTTTCGGGAAAAGGAAGGAAAGAAAGAAAAGGAGGAGTGGCATTGCAACATTAACACGGTTATCTATAATTTACACGCACAGGGGGAACAGCGGAGCCTCCTTAACAGCGGTGATTTCTGGCTGCCTGATGCACATTTATTGTGCTATTACTTTTGTGGCCCGTGGATGTCCCCTGCCCATGCCCATGCCCCTGCCAATCCCAAAAGGCAAACGACTTTCCTCCCTTGAGTATTTTTTTACGTGTCCTGGCTTGGCGGCCAAAAAAAGTTTTCAGCTACAGTCGCGGTGGAAATAATAGGAAAGTTTGGTAGAAAGTATTAGAAAACCTTGAAAGAAGGTTGACTACATTTTTCCTCCTTTTATTACTATCAAAAATATTTATTAATATTTTAGTATGTTTGATTTTTATTTATTTATTTGGTATTTTTGCATAGCTTTAGGTTCTATTACTTGGCCTCTTGCTGTACGCTAACTTTTATATATCTTACAGCAAAAGATTAATTGCCCCACTTCCCCAGCTCCCTGAACTTGGCAAATATATTTAGTGCCGAGATTTATGTAGCTTCATTACGACCACCCATCACCGTCCCTGTGTAACAACCCCATAAGAAATCTCACACCCCCTAGATAGCAGAGTGGGCTTTTAGTCTATGTTTATCGAAAATTTTGGTCAAACAATTAAAAATATTGTCCCTCTTTCGGTATATTTTTTGGTCTCTGTGGGGGCCACTTTTTATTGTTGTCATGGCAGCCGTCTGCCAAATGAATATTTAATGTCACCCCCAAACTTACATTGCCACCACCCATTCTCAAATGGCCTTCGGAATATCGAACGGCTAACGGCGAACGGCAAGTTCAATGTCAAGTTTTTCTCGTACCATGCGGCGTATGCGTAATTTTAGTTCTGCATGTTTGCCATGAGTTCGGCTTTTATTTATGGCCTCGTGTGTATTTTTTGAGCTAATAATCAGGGAAAATCAACAGAGGCAAAAAAGGAGATTGCAGAGACCAATAAAACAAGCTAAAGGCTTGCTGTTATTTATGGCAATTATATTTAGCCATAAAAATTTGTCAATTAATTGGAATTTGTGGTGCTGGTTGAGTTGATATTGTCAACATGGGATGAAGAAAATTCAGTTAAATATTGATGTAGAAGAAAATGAGTGAAATGTAGGTTAAATTTAAAAAGAAAGTGAAAGAATAAATTTAAATGTTTTTAAACTGAAATTCAGTTAAAACATAAAAGACCAAAAATCATTTGCAGGTCAAGCAAGCGCCTCCCCGGGGCATTTTTTTGGGTAAAACACGTCTGAAGAACTGTCACAAAATTTCATATTTCACTTTATTTGTGGCAGTTGACAAATGTTTGAAATTGACAGCCGTAGGAAATAAAATGAAATAAATTGGAAGGTGGGTGGGGGAAAGCTTGGACAAGATTTGTATGGCTAAAAATTTAATTTTAAATGCGACAATAAACGCCTACAGGGAGAAAATTTTAAAATTACTAGTTATTATTAAGTTTTGGAATTAAGAAACCGCAACGAACTCTAATGGTTAGACTTGGCTAAGTAAATGTCATATCTTAACCCCATAAACTCATTTTGTGAATGAGTGATTGAAAATTATGGGGAAAAGCAAGAAGAAAATCAACTTCCAGTTAGTAAATGTCAACATTTTTCTCTGTTTGCCACAGAAGGCTGGAAAACCCCACGTCTTTTCATCGTGGGACAGGTCAGTGAAAACGTTGGACATGTCAAAAGAGGCGGAGAGAAATCAAACAAATTGCTGTGGATGTACTACAATTGAAACCGTTAGCTTGGGGGTGTAGTGGGCGTGGCCCCCTAACAATGCTCAGATGGAACAAAAAAAAAAGAAAGAAAAGAGCAACAGATACAGGTTGGTTGACTTTGAGGCCTTTATGTTAATTTCTGATTCATTTCCAGTTTGTTTTTCCACCAGATCTGCGCTTTATGGAAACTCACTGAAGTGCATCAGCGCAGGAGTGGCAAGAGCGTAAGAGCAAACGTGCTGTGATTTAATTTTTCTGTGACGGTCGGCGGGCAAACAAAATAATTTAACATATGGGGGCAGCGCGCAGCTGGAAAATGGGGGGAAAAAATTCAATTAAAATGCACAAAGCCTCTCGTCTCGCCTGACCTCTCGCTTGGCCTGCTCCTTTCCTTGCCTTTCCTTCCTTCCTTTCCTTTCCCCGAGGACAAGCAATTATCGTTGTTGCTGCTCACGTATGTGGATCAAAAAATGCTTCAAGTTAAATTGAATTTGTTATTAAAACCCAATTTTACATGACGCATTTTGATGGCGTACTACACACATCATCCTCTAGCCACAAACTTCAATTTCAAATGCAGACACAGGAGATAAGTTGACGTTGCCGCAGATCGCGAAATTCCTTTCATTTTCCACCATCTCTTCCTCTAACACATGACAAGCTGGGAAATTTTCATAACAACAACCGAATATTTTTTCGCATAAACATGCAAATTTCGCACTCAAAGCCAGAACTTATCCACCTCCCACCACCACCCCAGTTGCACTCATCACGGCAATGAGTAATTTGCATGTAAATATATATCTACACTCGTTTATATAGTATTTTTCCTGTTTGCTTTTTAGCATTTGTTCATGAACTTCGCAGTTGACGAGAACAACAAACTGTCATACAAAGCTTTGCCATTGTTCAAGGAAATTTTCGCAAAAACGATAGAGGAAGGGCGGTGAAAGGAAGCTCCAGACTATTGCCTGTCAAGTGACTGACTAACAAGTTTCGTTTACGTCCCATCTGCACTTTGAAAAAAATCATTTAAATGATATAATATTATTAAAAAAATATTTCATGTAGATATAAAATAAGAAAATACTATTTTTAGAATATATATCTACTGACTAACTAAATCATAAGACTTATATATGAGTAATCTAGTGGGACTTCCAAAAACATATAAACAGATCATATAGAGTCTTTTGCAAAAGCCAAGCTTCATTATAGGAACCATTTTCTTATTTTTAAAATATTTCACCCACATTTCTCTACATGCATTACGTTTCTCACTCAAATTTCATTGCGCTCTGGGGGCCATGTTTTGATTTATGACCAAATTGAAACGACTAACAAAATATTTACGTCATAATTCTGTGGAAAAACGCACAGCTATACCGTTGTATTTAGGTAAAGAAAAATATACACGGGCATATTTCAACCGAGTCGTGGAATAATTAGATTTTATATGTGGGAAAACGAACAGCACATGAAAGTGAATCGACACGTGTCTCTGTCGACAATAATGCAAAACAAACGCTTTATGACTTAATGTAAAACAAATGCTCCATGACTACATATACGTGAATATAATGAATCACAAGCATTATGAACAGTTGTTCATTTGGGTGACTAAAAGCCAATAAATCCATACAACATTTAAGCTTAAGAGGGCGGATATTTATATAAGAAAAAGTTAAAGATAAAAGCTAGTAAGAAATCAAAATGCGAATAAGCAGCTTAAAATGTTTTCTATGAATTCAAATGTTGTTATTGCATTTATTTGTTTCTTTTTATAGTTTTGGTTTCTTATTAATGCCAAAGCTTATTAATTTATACACCTATAAATAAGGTATTTTTTCAGAAAATTGAGTATCTAACAACTTTGCAAAAGGTTAATGAATAGGCAATACCTTTTAATAGGGGTTTAATTGTTGGTTTTTTTTCTTGTTTCTCTTTTGTAATTTAAAACTTGTTATGCAAAAAATCATTGTGTCGTTTTGTCATCCAACTACAGGAGAGTTCTTTTGCCAGTTTTTGAATAATTATTTTCTTAGAATATTTTTTAGCTTCTACAGGATATGTCAAGTCATTCGGTGACCGCAAAAAGAAGGCCTCTGCAGTATAGGCATTTGCCAACTTTATTCAATTTCTGGCATGACTTGCTGATGTTGCCACTGCGACTGTTGCTGGTTGCTGGTGTGGCTGATGTGGCTGATGTTGCTGTTAGCCATGTTGCTGATGAGCCATGGCAACAAGCTGTTGCTGTCATGAGTTGGCAGAAGCCATCGCCTGGAGTCTGCCAACGCAATAAAGCAATATTGAAATTGCTTTTGGCAAACACTCAATTGAAAAGGACCAATTGAATTGCCCACCCAATGAACTTGTAACCCAAACTGCAACATAGTTGTGGGAAATTGTGTGGAATAACTTCAAGTTTCTTGTGCACATATATATAAATATATAAATATGCAAGCAGATACACGGACTCATTTAAATCAAATTCCCACAGGCAACGTCAATTATGTGAAGCAGCAACAAGTGCCTACCTGTAGGACCCCCATTTTCTCCATTGCCGTGGAAAATTGCCTCCGGTGCGACAACAGCAACAACTGCAATGCATTTTTAGCCTCTTTTTTTCGCTACCTTTTTACACAATTTACATTTTTTTTCTCTTCAACTTTGGCATGCAATGGGCGTGATTAACAACTTCCCTTTTTGGCCGAGGAGTGAAGTGGATGGAAGGCAAATTGCCTTGATTCACTTGGTTAGGCATTGAAATTGACACTTTCGAGGCAAACCTGGCTAAAACGATAATTGTCCAAGAGCAAAGGCAAAAAAATAGAGACTACTTTATGCGTAATGGAATTAATGATTGGCACACAGATCGTTATGAAAGTCTGCCTCCCAACATGGCAACTAAAGTCTTAGATTACAAAACAATAAATGGAAGGAAGTGAGTGAATGGGAGTGGTTAACTTGTGGGTTTTCTTTGATTGATTTTTTCCTATTCTATTAAACGTGACTGGTCAGGGAGTTATATATATTAATGCACTTGGAATAATTTGTATATATAAACTGAGAGCTAAATAATTCAATTCGAAAAAGATTAAAATGACTTTTTTAACTTTAAATTAATCCGTTGTTAAGTTTTTAACTTATATTCTACCCGGAGATGCGTAACCGCCTTGGAAATCAATGCCCTTAAGTCCATTGATAATGTTTCCAATCAAAATCCATTGAAGCGAAGCTGATGACGCTGGACTATTCCTATAGTAAATGATGCCCAGCCTTATCAATAAATACAATAAATCAATGAACATTTGTCAGAGGAATGAAGGAGCGAATGCGGAAAGATGGTTGCTTCTAAATTTTAAGAACCAAAGATGGGAATATTCCATAAAATATATTAAGTATCAAAAACCTTATCCTAAATCCTAATGCCAAAGAGGTAAAAATTAATAATTATTATAGAATATATATTGCTAAGACTCTTTGCAGTCCATTATACTCCTCAACTATAATCATAATGGGTATTATTTTGGGTACAAAAACACGCTCCAGACTTTGTTAATAACATGGTACAGCCCAGGGGCTGTATAAATTACTATCAGGACGCTCGGCGAGAACCATAAAGAGATACGGGGAGAGAGAGAGAGAGAGAGATAACTAAGGCAGTATGTGATAGTATGCTCGGAATTTTTTTTCGGTTTTTTGTACGATTTTCTGATTTTGTTATTTTGGTCAGGCAAAGACAAGATTGACTTGCAGTTGTCAGTTGCCGGACGAGAAGAGCGGTGTGTTGATCGCGACTTTCGATTTCGTTCGGCATCTTCGTCATTATCATTATTATTATTATCATTATCATCCTCAGAAGCCCTGCCAACTCACGCAGTAATTATCCGCATCGGGGCAGACGTCCTCAGAATCGGCTTTAGTTTTTCAGTACTTGAGTAGCAGTCTGTCAAGGCCCGTCGACGTCGCAACATCAACGACACAATGTGGCTGCTGTTGCCTATTCTTCTATATTCGGTTGTATTCCTCACCGTTCGCCACATTTACAGCCATTGGCGGCGAAGGGGATTCCCCTCGGAGAAGGCCGGGATAACATGGAGTTTCCTGCATCAGGCATATAGACGGGAATTCCGACACGTGGAGGCCATCTGCGAAGCCTACCAGTCGGGCAGGGATCGCCTGTTGGGCATCTACTGCTTCTTTCGGCCCGTCCTTTTGGTGCGAAATGTGGAGCTGGCCCAGACTATGCTGCAGCAGTCGAATGGACACTTCAACGATCTCAAATGGGACTATGTCAAAGGTTATCGCAGGTTCAATCTGCTGGAGAAGCTGGCGCCTATGTTTAGTACAATACGATTGTCGGAGATGTTCGGGCAGGTCCAGAAGGTGGGTAATAATTTAATCACCCATCTGTTGGACAAGGAACAGGTCCAAGGTGGTCTTTTGGAAGTGGATCTACAGCAAACGCTGAGAATGTAAGTTACGTTTTGAGACTATTTCGTATTTAGATTTAACTTACATTTTATTCCTTTCAGTTATTCAATTAACATTATTGGCAATCTCATTTACGGCTTGGATGTCAACAACTTTGAGCAAAAGGATCACATTCTGACCAGCTACCTGAACCACAGTCAGGCCTCTATTCAGTCGTTGTAGGTATTCTTAAACTAATTCCCCACTAGATCTTTATCATTTCTTAATCCTATTTACAGCACTTTGAAGTCGCCTGCCCCAGAAATCTTCGTTTACCTACCGCTTAAGGGATCTCATTAAGCAAAGCATAGAATTACGCGAAGATCATGGATTAATACGAAAGGATATTCTGCAATTACTAGTCAGGTTTAGAAATGGCAATGACGTTAGTGGCGATAAATGGCAGCTTGAAAAGAATAATGGTAAGTTGTTAAGTTTTTAGTGTTAGATAAAATTTATCTAATTGGTTCATTTCCTAGATCAAGACAAACTTTTGTCCCTCAAACGGGTGGCTAAAGTGGCTGAGGACCTCTTAAAAGTATCCTTAGATGCAGTATCCTCAACTATCACCTTCACTCTCCTAGAAATCCTGCAAGAGCCCTTAATAGTTGAGAAACTTCAAGCGGAAATCAAGGAACTTTGCAATGAAGATGGTCAGCTTAAGTTTGAAGAGCTGGAAGGTCTTAAATATATGGAAATGTGTCTCAAGGGTAAATTAATAGAGTAAAATGGCATGTAATGTAATGTATAAATGTGTAACTATGTTTAACCATTACCCACTACAGAAACTGTTCGAAAATATCCCCCTCAACCCATCATTGAACGGATTTGCCGCAAAACCTATTCACTGCCCAACTCTAGATTTACTATAGATGAGGGCAAGACTCTGATGGTTCCTTTGTTAGCCATTCATAGAGATGAAAAGTATTTCAGTGAACCAATGAAATATAAGCCACTTCGATTTCTGCAAACTGAAAATGATTTAGGTCAATGCAAGGATAAAACGAAGTGCAATGCTTTTATAGGATTCGGTATAGGAGGAGCTCAATGTGTGGGTAAGTTTAAAGATTTTAAATTATTCACCTTTGCAATCGTTGAGAAAATATATTTTTCTTTGCCAAATTACAGGACAGAACTTTGCCAAGTTGGTAATTAAAGTGGCCCTAATCAAACTCCTGCAAAACTTTCACTTGGAATTGGATCCCAAGCTGGCTGGAACCCTCGAAGTTTCACATCAACCAGCTCCCTTCATACACACCAAGGATGGACTAAAAGTCAAGTTGAAGAGACGCGAAATAAAACCGAAATTTTATCACTAAACTAAGTTAGGTTAGGTATGCTCTTTAAGTTGCTAAGTCCCTTAATTTGTGCATCTTTTTCAACACTTTGTCGTCTGCCCGCGACACCTGAAATTATGCTATAAATAAAATTCAGTATATTATGGTAGCAGTTTCCTTTATAGTCGCTTATGTCTCTGTTGTTGTTGTTGCTGTCCGCTCTTGTTTGCTTCGTTCGCTTCGTTAACTTTGCAAAATGCCAAAAGGTCCTCGGGAACACGTTGCGTATACGTAACGTCACACAACGCTAAACTCGACGCATTAAATGTCCTCCTGTTGTTGTTTACGCCAACACGGATATAGAGACTCGATTCTGAAGAGACAGAGACAGAGGGAGGGCGTGATTGGGTGGCTGAGATGGAGATATCATCTCGGACGGAAAAGACATGTGCTTCCATTTGAGTTTATCATTAAATTTGATTTGCTTTGTTGCCAATCCAACATGACAGCCGCCTGGATACCGATAGCTGAGCCGCTCTTCTCTCGCTCTCCCAAAATATGGTAAAAGTCAAGTCCGTCGGTCCATTTCAAAGACTCATCTCGTTTGGCCAACACTCGGAGAAAATGCTGTCCATTATGACATTTGAAATAAAACGAAAAAAAGGGGAACAACAAAATATCAATAAATATGGCTCATATATTTTTCCTCAGTGCGTCAATCCACTTCGAGTATGTTCAGAGGAGAGGCAATCAGGGCCGAAAGGCGCCTCTAATGATGCCGCAATTAGACCGCATTATGGACACATTTATCATCCACAGACCGGGCCGGGCCGGGGAAACGGAATGAGAGATAGAGATGTCACAAACAAATGACTCTAATGAGTGCGTAAAGTGTTTTACATTAATGAAAACTTTTTGGCCGGACAACCCGCAGTTCCCCATGCCTACAGACAAAAAACCCATCAAAATAATTGTGCCTGAGCTGGAGCTAAGCTTTCGGGGATAAATGACCTGGAAAGAGTGTCCGAAATCAACAGCAAACTTTACGACTTTTGCTCTGGCCAAAGTATTAAAATTGAAATTCAATCAAACGAACAGGGGTTGTAAGAGTCATGGGGCAGCCCAGACAATTTTCAGGCTCGAGCTCCGGCAGCTAGATAAAATCCAACAGGCACGGCACGAGTACGACTACGACAACGACAACAACAGGAGCAAGTGGAGCTCTTCACATGTTTTGACCCAGTTCGCAGGCGAGGCAAGTGTCGAATATAAATTGCATGAGATAGCCCGAGAGATGGCGCTGTAGATCCTGTGGCAACTCCCTTTGGCACAATCTTGGCTGCCATTGTCCTGGTTACATTTAAACATTACTCATTCCACATTAAGCGGTCAAAGCGGCAGCCAAGTCAAAAATTTAAAAAGTAAGTACAAAGTTGCTTGCATAAATTATCCACACAGCGAAAAGCATACAATTTTCCTTTCTTCTCTCGCATAAATTATGATTTATTTCACCCATGGGACATGCTCCAAGTACTGCTAATTTCCATGTAAAGTTGTAGCCCAATTAGGGTTATTAACTTACCATAATTTCAAGATCGGTTTTTCGGGGTTAACTGCAAGGAGACAGAGAAACAAAAGTAGAATCAATTAATCGTATGTTCGTATAAGGAGTTGTGTTATTGAACTTTTGATTTGAAAAACGAAACCAGATTGTAATTGCTTTAAATATAAAACAAACTCGCGTTAAAGTCATAGTGAAAGATAAATTTGTTACAAGCAACAAACAGACTGACACAAAAGGTTATCGCTGCAGTTGCCTTTAATTAGCCAATTGACATATGACTTTTTAGTTTGGCTTTTATTGTTTTTGCCAAGCCGAAGTTGTGCAACACATTTGGCTGCTTAAACAAAATCACTTTGAAAGCATTTAAGTGGCTTAACTAGGGGAAGTATTTGTTATGCGCCTGGCAAATAGAAACTCAAGCGTTTTGTAGCGTTCAATTTAAGTCCACAACAATGTGGCATATTTGCATAATAAAAATACAAATTTCTTTACAAAACAAAGAAGCTGCCATAAATTATAAGGCAATATTTTAGTTTTGCCTTAAACAGTTATTTGAATAGTAAGCAAAATTTCTTTATAATATGTTATGTCATAAATATTAAGCCAAAAATGATGATTTAATCTGTAATTTAAAATTTTGTTTTTTTTTACATTTTTCCCTTTTAAAATATTTAAAAATTCTTCATTAATTGCATAAATGTCGTTTTCCAGTTGCTGAAATTATCTTCGCTAATTGGATGAGAACTTTTCTGGTCCAAAAACTTTCCCACTTCCAGCGTGGCTAAGAAAACAATTTAAGTGGCGGTCATCTCGTGTGTTTATATCTGCCCTCTTCACACTTCTGTCCCCTTCTTTTAAGAATTCTCCCAGCTGTGCTCCAAAAATAAAAAGATAAAGTAACTGACGACCTCGGAGGGTCAGCAGTAATAAAACTAAATAAATGTTTGGCCTTTAATTGTGCTCTTTCTCTGGGCTTTTTTTTATGAATATTTGTTTAACAATTAAAGTTGCCATGGGTGTGAGTGTGTGTTTGCCATGTATGAAGATTATGATCATTAAGAGTTTGAAGAATAAAGAGCAAAAGGGGAATTTTGTGGAAACTGGGAGACCAAAAGGCCGTTAAACATTTTCTGAAAGAATGTTACTTCAGTAAGTGAAACAAAAAATGTAAAAAAAAAAAGTACAAAAATATTAAAAAATAAAAAAAAGAACCTTATAATGCGTTTGGCTATGTATTAAATATTTATATTTTTACCAAATTAGTTACATTATTTTGTCTCATTTAAAGAGTTACCACTGTCTGTGAAAAATATCTTCATGGCTTGGCTTAAGTTGGGTGGCAGAGGATTCAGTTGGTTTACTTTTTCAATTTGTGTGCGTTGCATTCACATAATTGCCACATGGAGTTGCATGATGCCATGATGCATCCGCCTGCCGCCCTTCAAACTGCACATACTCCTACATATATATACAGATATATTTATATATATATAGATCATATGCGTTGAGCGACATGACGCTCAGCTTCTTCATTCCATTGGGAATGAGATGAGGATGTTTGAGGATGCCGCTGGTGTTTGCGTGCAGCTGTTTATTGTTGTTGTTATTGGGCGGCTGTGTGCAGTTGCTTTAATTATTGTCAGCCAAACTGTCGCGGCCACCAGTCGCATGTGTAATTTGTTTGTCTGCCTTTTTTTTTTTCTTTTCTTTTCTTCTCTTCTCTTTTCTTTTCTTCGGTCTGCCTCGCCATCTTTACACTATATTTTTATCTGTTTCCGACTTTTAATTAATTTATGTTTCTGTCATTTTACCGGGTGCTTAAATAGTGCGTTGGATTCAGGGCTTACGGAGTGGGTGTCTATGTAATTATTTCATTTCTTACAGTTAAGAAGCTACTGGTTTTTGCTAAGGAAGCCAAGCTGGTGACCTAGTTATCGCTCTTCAATTAACTTAGAATTTAAGTAAAGTTTCGTTCCATTTACCTTTACCCAAATCAACCAACTAGAGTCATAAAACGGAAACCAAGTCCCCATCATTCCCAATCAGAAGTATAACCTTCCTAATGGCCAAAATCATTTAGCCTTCATTTTCAATTACCCGGCGTAACGAAGCGCCGAAAGCATTTATCAAAATGCCAAACTAGATAACTTAATTAAAGCCCCAAAATCAATCTGCATATAAATATATACGTATATGTATATGCGGGGCCTGACAAAATCAAAATCTGTACATCTCCAACCACCAACCAACCGCCCGGCAAACAATGGAAAACCATCGCCAAACAACAACATCCGCTTATCGCGATAAATCAAAGCCACGAGTGTTGTTAATTTTCCAAGGAAATTTCGGATATACAAAGTTTTCGTGGGGATAAAAGCGAAAAACGTGCGTGAATGGTGCGTGGTAATAAAAACAACTTGAATTTATGTTTTCACGGCGGAGCCAAAATTATCTTAAGCTCAGAAAAGGGGAAAACTGGATACTTCTTGCTCACTTTGGGAGCCCAAGCCTGTGTGCCAGTCATGTGTGAGTACATTTCATTTTTGTGGCCACGACGAGCGACTTGCTAATTCTAATTAAAACCAACAGCAACAGCAACTTAGGGAAGTCTGAAACACACTCAAGCAGAAAATTATCAACTCCGCGGAGAGATCCGTAGATGAAGATATGGGGAGTTAACTAAACTTCTGCTTGGCTAGACCAAAAGATTTTTCTTGAATGCCACAACAGCAGGAGAAAAAATTCAGGGAAAAATAGAAGAACAAACCCCTGCCACAGCAGGCCAAAATTAAATTGTGCACATTTCCGTGGAGCGGAAATTGCCCAAGTTTGTCACTTGAAATGAATACATACCGAATCTGAGATGTATATAATGGAATCAGCCAAAAACAGCATTCGCCATTTATGTTCCTTCCTTCCCGCAAATTGAAATTCATATCACTCACTTTAAAGGGAAACGTTTTGCCACCCACCACCAGAAGTTTTAAACAAAACACGCACCACCCGCACAGGTGTAAATTATGTATTAAAATTTATGGTTCGGTTTTGGTTTTGGTTTACATTTTAAAGCCCCGAAGCGGTGAACAAAAGGCGGCCATAATCATTTCCATTGCATTTAACCAGAAATTAGCGGATATTGTGACCTGTGCGCAATTTGCACTGATAATTAAATTAAATGCCTAATTAATTACCATTAGGGCCGTGCATCAACTGCAAATGTGCCAAATGTAATCCAAATGAACATGTCGCTGGGCACAGTTGCGTTCGAAGCTATTTAATTTATGATCGGATATAAATCAAATTATAGGTGAGTTAAATTATGACAGTGGCACGCCGAATGACCCGAAATAACGCATAGGTGTGTAAATATAATTGGGAGAGAGTGGTAGAGTAAATTTTAGAAGTCTAGGTTATAGTCCTAGTAAGATATTAGTTATGAATTTTGTATTGTAATCATGGAAAGTGTTCTCTGCTAAATTCCTTCCTTACCCAGCTAAAAGCATTATAATTTAAAACTGAAATTACTTCACTTGGTAAAATAGTTTCTCCTTTGGCTTAAATTCCGAAGATAACCCCATAAAATCCAGGCTAGTCATCAAATTGGCTTCTTCATCGGGCTCAGCTCTTCATGAACCGGATGAACCTTTGACTACCTAATTCCGGTTGCAGTATCCCCACATATATATATATCTATTTGCCACACAGCCATCTTTGCAGCTGATCCTTTACCCTGACTATATTCACAACTCCTTCGTTGCCTTCTCTAATTTACTTCACTGGCTGGCACTCATAACTCAATCCCTGACTCTTCCTGCTCCCTGACTATGGGTAACCCTTAAGCCACATCCAGATGCATTGACAAAATTTCACTTTGGATGAGAGATGCTGCTGGTCCCTGCTGCTGTGGATTGCAAATGGGAAAGCTTTTGGGAGACTCTGCGATTGCAGTTGGTTGCAGTTTGCTGCTGCAAAAAAGTGCAGGGATGTGGATGGTTGGTTGGTGGGAGCTCACGCTCTTCTTCTCTGCCCTGTCACATGCCACATTCTGGCAACTCTTTTTGTCCAGGGTATGCGAAATGATCTAGGAAGTACTTGTTTTTATATGCAAGATGTAAGTCATTTAAAAGTTATAATAAAAATCTTTAAATTTTCTTCAATCTTGTTTTTGACCGAAAATATTAAACTTCTATTATAAAACTTATCTATGTATTATACCCAAAGTATCCCCCAGTCGACTATAAAGATCTTCAAAGTTTTTTCTTGTCGGCATGATTTTCGCAATCAGTGGAAAGCAGCTTGAACCGCTGCAGTTGTTGCATTTGTTGCTGGTGCTGGTTTGGCGTGACATTTGGCTTTGGATAGGAAACGGGAATCTCGCGGAAAGGGGACTTTGGGAGTCATCTCCTTCTCGACATGCAGCATAATCTGGCGTAGCTTTATGCCCTGGGCTTTTTTCTGGGTTTCGATGTCACACGAAATGTAAAGTCGTCGCCAAATGATGCGCAATTCACAAGTGAAACTAATTTCACGAACAACAAAGTCAATTTTCCATTTAATCCGTAGGGGGAAATGATTGCACAATGTTTATGGTTCTATCGCCTTAAACTATGTCAAATGCCGTTCAATTAAGTTTTCGCTTGCACAATGATAAGGAAAACCTGCCCACCTCTATTAACTCCACTTCGACTCATAACAGTGACGCCAAAGGGTATTAACACGGGTTTAGGGCGTGCTATGTTCGGGGGCAATCGTGGGGCATGGCACTGGGGCATGTGGGGACATCAGATTGATAGCGTCGCTAAACAACACAAAACAGAAAAGACCCCAACGGGGCTGGTCTAGCTCCCTACTTCTAATCAAGCACGTAAATAAAGTTAAGGTTTACGTATATTCATGGAAGGGACACAAAAACACAAAAGGGGATGCAATTTATATCGGGAAAATGAAGTTGGGATACCCTAATTTATAGCAAAGGAAATGTGACAAATAGTAAGTAAGACAACGTTTTTTTCATAAGGTTATAGGTTTTAAACAAAAAGCAAGTTTCCA